ACTTTCAAGGTGTGGAAGAAGGAGAGCTCCAAATGCGTGGAGTCTGTTTTGGTCGCCGGCGCCGGGGGAAATAGGAATCATATCCGCATTTGGGAAATGCGGCTATCGTATAATATACGACAGCCGCATTTCCCAAATGCGTTTTTGTGTATACGACAAACCGTATTTGAGAAACGCGGTTGTCGTATATTATACTACAGTCGCATTTCCCAAATGCGGTTGTTAGCGACGTGGCCTTCAGCCACAACCGAGTTTGGGAAATGCGGTTTTCAGCCCAACCGCGTTTCCCAAACTCGGTTTTCCTATTTTTGTCAAAAAATAAAAATAAAAAATTCATTCCTATTATTGTCAATAAACCTATGTCTATTCCCATTTCAGTCAAAAACTCAATATTACGTCCTAGATTACACTTTGACTCAAAATTTAAATGCACTTTTTTCCTAACAACTAGTAGTAATTGCTTGAATTAACTTTAAACACAACGGCTCTCATATTAAGTGGAACGATTTTTGTACTAAGGCGTTGTTTGGCAAACCTAGCTGAAAAACTATAAGCTAGGAGTTGAAAGCTGAAAATGAGCTGAAAACTGAAGAACTGTTAAGCTAGCTGTTATGATGGAAAGTGTTTGGTAAAATTAGCTTTTTGATAAGCTGATAAATGTAAAAATACTAAAAAGGACATCTTCATAAAATTTAAATTAGTTTGTTTACATATTAAAATTTAATATTTTGTCTTTAAAAAAAAAACTAGTATTTTCACCCGTGCGATGCACGGAATGGAATTGTTGTAATATATTAAGAATATTTAAATCGATATATAATTATTTAAGAGTTAATTTCACCAGAGGTCGTTTATATTTCCTGACAATTCCAAATTTAATCCTAGACTATAGTTATTAATTATTACAATTTATTCTATGTTACAACTCTTACGTTAATATTCTTACTATTATTATTAACACTTAATTGCTTTTAGATATTATTATTACCACTTATATTATTATTATTATTATTATTATTATTATTATTATTATTATTATATTATTATTATTATTATTATTATTATTATTATTATTATTATTATTATTATTATTATTATTATTATTATTATTATTATTATTATTATTATTATTATTATTATTATTATTAGTTTCTTTTCAAGTACTGTTAGTATATAATGGTCCAGAGGCACAATAATAATATAACCATAATTAAATATTCTTGTATTGTATTCTGAAGTTAATGCCATTTTTGGTCCTAGACTTATTGAGGCATTGACACTTTTCATCCTCCATAATAAAAATTGCCACTTAGTAGACACTGTTATTGATCATTGGATAGTTTTGATCCTCCGTCAATGAAGCCGTTTATTGACCGTGAATTAGAAAGGCTTTTCTGTCTTTTTATGTCTTATTCTTCTAATCTTGTTTAGACCAGCGCTGCTGTGACTCCGGTGAGGCGAGACTTGGCGGCTAAGTAGTAACTGTCGGTAGTGAGTAGCAGCGAGGTTCTTCTCCGGCGAGTTGTGGGTACGGCGGCGAGCATACGAGGCAGTAACTCCTTCCGGCGACGGACCAGTAAGGCAGATCTGGCGGTGCAGCAACAGATCCGCGCGATGTTGGGGCCTTCACCGATGGTTTTTTGTTCCGGCGAAGCAGAGAGTGCAGCAGGTCGGCGAACCCTCCTATGGTAAATAGCAGTTGTAGTTGTAGATGGCGTGATGTAGAATTTGCACCTGTAAGTCCTCCCTTCCATATTGACCACAAATATCCTTCCTATCTCTCTCTCTCTCTCTCTCTCTCTCTCTCTCTGACCACAACTACTTGGTGCACAACCTCAAAAACTCTGTTATTCTACCTGAAATTCATTTAAGTTTCAAGCTGAAAATGTGGAATCCGCTGCTCCCCAAAAATCGCATTGTCTGAGGTGTTGGAATGGCCGGTGTTGACTTCCTGGCTGCTGTAGCTTCATTCCCCAACCCGGATGATAAAATTCGGAGCACCAGCTTTGAGGTTAAGGAGGTGGTAACACTGGCAATGCTTCGATAAAACCCGGATGATAAAATTCGTCTTGGTCTTAATCCAAGGATCATATCTAAGGTTGCTGATGACTCGCATGGCGAAAGAATACTTGATGAGCTTGAAAGGGATGGTGTTGTTACATCTTTTATGGTGGTGTCCAAAGGAGGAAACTCACCATTCACATATGTCATTGTTGACAACCAAAAAAAAAAAAAAACCTCGCACGTGCATTTTCACTCCAGGATATCCACCCATGATATCTGAGGGTCTAATACCCAATTCAAAATTGTCTTCAGTGCTTGGAGTAAATATTGTCTACTTAGATGGAAGGCTGCATGAGACTGCTTTGATTGTAGTGCAGGAAGCAAAGAGTAGGGGCATACCTATTATAGTTGATGCAAAAAGGTTAAGGGAGGGGTTGGGTGATATTCCTAACTTTGCTAGTTATGTTGTATGCTCGACAAAATTTCTACAGGCATGGACTAACGCCCTTTCTATTCCAACTGCACTTGTTTCCATTATCTTGAGATTGATGTCAAATGTAAAATTCGTGATTATTAGTTGGGTGAAGATGGTTTCTTAATGTTAGAAAGGACGGAAGCGGATAACCTAAGTTTGAAGAAATGGATGTAACAGTGACCAATGGATGGAGAAATACAAGGATTATAACATAAAAAGACAGAAAAACCCTTCTAATTCACGGTTAACAAACGGCGTCATTGACGGAGGATCAAAACTGTCCAACGATCAATAACAATGGCTACTAAGTGGCAATTTTTATTATGGAGGATGAAAAGTGTCAATGCCCCAATAAGTCTAGGACAAAAAATGGCATTAACTCTTATATTCCGTGAGTCACAATAATAATATAACAATAATTAAATATTGTTCAATTCTATATTCTTCTAGGATTTCTATTACCATCATTAATTATTCCCAAATTTACCATAATTAAATAATTTGACCAATTATAAAGAAAGATTATTAAATAATGCACGGGACAATTGTTTAATTAAAAATTTTTAAAATTCATTAATAAAACATAAGGTTCTCATAGTTTTTTCTTAGAAACTCTTTAATAAAGTATTTTTTTTTTAGAAATTGGTGGGCCAAACCGCCTACGGTAGTTTGCGGTGGATAGATCTCGAAAAAATACGCATTTTCAAAAAAATATTTGTCCAAAACGGACAACAGAGTCAAAAGTTATGCCTTGCCGAACTTTTGACACTTTACAACTTAAAATAAAAAATAAAAAATTAAAGGCCGGTTGAGCCGGCGAGGCGGCCGCTAAGGAGGACGATTCCGGCCTTCCTCGCCGCGGGCAGCGACATGATTTTTGCAACACTGATATATAATATTAGAATAGAATTTTAACGCATAATTATTGTACGAATAGGGAAGTAGAAATCAATATATTTTATTAGGAAGAGAGATTTTGTAGGAATTGGGCGGGAAGTTAAAATTTCAGGATTTTGTTTTTATATATAGTATAGATTGTATTACATAATTTTATAATATTACAATAGAATTTTAACGCAGAATTATTGTACGAATAGGAAAGTAGAAATCAATATATTTTATTAGGAAGAGAGATTTTTTAGGAATTGGGCGGGAAAATTTCAGGATTTTGGTTTTATATAGTATAGATTGTATTACACAATTTTATAATATTAGAATAGAATTTTAACGCAGAATTATTGTACGAATGGGAAAGTAGATATTAATATATTTTATTAGGAAGAGAGATTTTTTAGGAATTGGGCGGGAAGTTAAAATTTTAGGATTTTGTTTTTATATATAGTATAGATTAACATTTTGAAATAAAACTATTAGCATAATCATGATCTAGCATCTCATAATGAAGTAGCAATATTGTTGCAAATCAAATAATAATAATAATAATAATAATAATAATAATAATAATAATAATAATAATAATAATAATAATAATAATAAAAATAATAATAATAATAATAATAATAATAATAATAATAATAATAATAATAATAATAATAATAATAATAATAATAATAATATTTGCGGTGAAAGTTGCGGATAAAGGAGAAGAGAAAATGGTTTTAATTGGGAATGATAAATTATGTCATTTCTTTAAAATAATAAGAATAAAGACGAAAAAAATTAAGAAGCTAGGAGCTTATTTTGAATTGCGGTAGCATTCCAAAATAAGCTCTTATTTTAAGCTAGGAGCTTATTTTCGGAACATTACCAAACAAAGCTTATAGCTTATTAGTAGCTTAAAATAAGCTATAAGCTCTAAAATAAGCTCTGTCAAACAGAGCCTAAATGCTTAGACTCCCAGCTCCTGACCATTATTGGCGATGTTTGATGATCATTATGGTAATTAATATTTCGCGTTGGATACCCGTATACTTATCCAATTATCATGTCAGCCGCTATTGACAAAAAGACTATAATAATATTTGCATATGTTACAATCCTTTAACAAGCTTTTAGTATTTATTTTGTTTTCTTTTAATTATTTCTAGAAAACGAGTCCATTTATAGTTGGCCCAAAAAAAAAAAAAAACTTTTGGTCACAATGTTATTACGGAGTATTAAATGTACAAAGAATTGTATCTGTAAAAGAACTATTTCAATCCTTTTAATTTATGCTTTCTCTATTGATGTTTTGCCCAATAAATATTATCTAATATGAACATTATATTTGTTATCTATTGATGTTTTAATCCCTGCTTCTAATGCACTCCAATAACTAGAAAAGGAAAAGACAATGCAAAAAGAAAATAACAGATTTGCAAGACTTGTATATATGAGAAGTGTAGCTGAAATATTTTATGAGGATACATTCTACATCTCCTGAAAAGAAGAAAGTGGAATAGATAATAAAACTTCTTTAATTTTTTAAAATGCAAACGAATCAATTATTATTATACAATAATAACGAAATCAAAAAGTCGGGCAAAACATAGAACCATACAGAAGTGAACCATACATCAATGGCTCGGTCAGTGGCAGTCGCCGTTCGTGGAGGGGTCGGTCCGGGCAGTCATTCTCGCCGGCGACGCCGCCCTCGGCTTCTTCGTACAGAGTCGCGGAGGCATCGTCGTTCTGCACGGCGACGGACGGCGCACCGGTGGGGTCTGCGAGGTTAGTGCCGGTTCTCATGGTTTTTAGTCATATTCCGTGCGATTTTGAAATTGGTAATTTGGGTTGTTTTCCTGGAGCACATGGATGCTCGAATTGGGCTTTTGGCAGTTTGCTTGTTGTGCATTCGTAGCTTGATTGGGGTCTGCCGGCATGCATGTTGCACTAGACAGATAGGCAACCATGTAGCATTTAAAAATCCCCAATTTTAGGGTGGGGGTAATCTGTTTTTGATTTGTTGATAAACTTCTTCTGTAGTTTACTCTCTAGAAAGCACAAATGAAGCAGATAAGTCCAAACTTGAAACAGTTATTAGGAGTTTATGGGTAAAGTTCAGTATTAATCAATGAATTCAGCTTTCACCATGCTTTTATAATTGACTGTAATGGTTGGTGGCTGGTTTTTATTATGGAGCTGAACTACATAATATATAATACAGTATTTCTGTCATTTATCAATTTTTTTTTTTTATGTAATGAATAATTTAGTAAAGTTGAATATTACTCCAAACCTACAGTTTAGGAAGATGAGTAATAATATAATAGAATCAATGGTGGCCCTTGCACTGTGATATTAATCCAAACTGCAATAACATCTTTGTTAGAGATATATACTTATATTAGTGCTCTCTTTGTTAGACCATTTTGTCAGTTTGCATACAATTTAAAGATTAAGTTAGCATTTTGGTGGCCCTTATGTTAACATTTTAACATTTTGTTTTGGTTTTAATTAGAGTTGATAAATTCAGTTTATTATGAAAACAAGCTGAACTTTCAGAATTTTGCAGATTTTCCTTTGACTCGAAACACCAGCCATTCACTATTTTTTTGCACCGCATTGCAGCCTGGCACATCATCTTGTAAAAGCTCCATTCGTTCACTAATTGTTTCTCTGCTAATCTGTTCAAAGTAGGTGTAAGTAGAGTCTCCACTTGCTAGAATGGATTAAAACAAAGATAATCCACTTAATCAAGAAGCTGTTTGAAGAATCTATACTCTTTGTGCATTCTTAGAGTGCAATAAGTGGCCTGGCCCCTTTTGGCTCTGTCATGAAAGCCAGATGGCCTCTTAGATTTCTCTTCACTTCTAGCAAACGCTTTTAATGGATTATAATTTTGCTTCAGTAAGATTCTTCTAGTGAAGTTAAGGAGTCGAATGGGGAAAAATGGCTGAATTATTATAATTTTAATTTGCTTCAGTTTGATACTGCCAGTGATAGCTAAGGAGTAGAATGAGGAAAAATTGCTGAATTAAGAAATCAAGGTGGTCTTGGCTTGTGTTATCTGGTTTTATTTAGTTTTGCCCTTTCGACATTTCTCGCTTCCTACACTATTAGTGTATGTAATCATGCAAGCATTGAAGATTATTGAGAGTTTATTCTTTACCTAGATGAATTGTTTGGGTTGCCTAATATATTTACATATAATCTTCTAAGTATCAGTGTATGTAATCATGTAACTACTGGTTCCCACTTGTCTGTTGACATTTTTTGCTTCAGTTTGATACTACTTGAAAACACGTCAGTTTCATGCTTTGAAGTCACCATGGTCTGAAATTATATGCTTTGTTTCAAGTTTCATTTGCACTAATCTAGTGGGGCATGTCTTTGTGTTGCTCCAGGTCGTGATGATCAACAACCGGTGTATTTAAGCAACCGGTGTATACTGCCTCGTGCATCAGCTACACGCGCCCTTCATCCACCCATCCAAGAAGTTGATCCAGGCTACGAGGATGACACCGGTCCACCCACGGTTCACCACGTGCCCCCTCCAAGTCCCAACACGGTACGCCTACTCCACCTGTGATTCCTCTACCCCGTTTCTATCCGTGTTTGAGGCATATTTAATCTTGATTGTTTGGGATCCGTTTTGCCGTAGGGGTTTGAGCAGGAATTCGCGTCCATGACTAGGGAACTTCTTTCAATAGCCACACGGATTGCAGAGTTAGTACGCAAAAACCCCATCCAAGCTCGCATGCACCCAAATTTCCAAACGATCGCCATCGTGGCGAATTTGTTGAGGGGGTTAATACCGGAGCCGACGGAGGACACACCCCACCCCAACCCCGAACCAGCTGAGGCACCAGCCACGACATCTGGCCATCAGGACGACGCTCTTTCGCAGGACACGGAGTTTTAAAGCCACATGTCCGGGCATAGGTGATATAGAAATGAACGCCTTCGGCTAGTGTTTTAAAGCGGCGTCCAACGACTGGTGTAATTGCCGTGTCCACATTTGTATTTAATAGGAATGGTGGTTAGCTCCGTCGTACTATACGGCACACCCCCACCCACGCTCTCCAACTCTTTGCAATTAAGAAATTAGGCCGCTGTGTTCACAACACAAAACCAGGTGCATTGCAATTCATGCACAAATCATTGGTCATTATAATAAATTGATTTTATCAACTTTATTTAATACAGGTGGCTGAATTTTTTTTTTTTTTTTTTTAAATTTCTAAATTATTTTTTTAATAATTGAATTGGTAACCTGGTAGCAACCTGCAAAAAAAGTTAATTGAACAAATTTAACATGTTAGTGTGGTTAATTAGCATTTAATTTAGTTCGTGGTGGGAATTGAGCACTTAGCAGTAGTAGATAAGCTTATTTGACACTTCTCCCTAAAAATAATGATGCATTTTAGTTCATCAATTATGCAATTCTACTTGTACATTTTTATATTGTTCTTTTAGTCGTTGCATATTGCATATCCCTAATTTTACAAAAACAAAAAAAAAAAAAAAAACAAAAAACAAAAAACAAAAAACAAAAACAAAAATTGTGATTTTCATTACTCTAACAACTAAGTAGACATGTTTGGCACTCATATTTTATATGCATTTCAATTCCTCACACTAGATATGTTTGAGTTTTGAAACTCAAGATTTTATATGCTTCTCACATTTTGTATCTTTGTTTTAATATTTTGTACATTAGCGGCGGGAGAAAAGAAAGTTAAAATTTTTCATGCTCAAAAGAATACTGTTCCTACTAATAATATCGGGTCATGACATTTTTGATGAAAGAATTTGGGTTCTCAATTCTTTTTACTCGGCAACAAATTTAAAAATGCTTTGGATTCCAATTGTGGATGATCATGTAGCATGGAGAAATGAACAGTTTGAAAAATTGGTAGTGAAGATGTGATTTTTGTCAATGGATGATCCACGGAAACAGATTTCACAAAAATTCATTAGATTCGTCAAGAAAAATCTCTCATCTACCTTTCACATTGAAAAGGAGCCCGTCATCATTTCACTAGACAAACAAGGAAATTAAAGATCATTCATTCAAATGCAATGCACATGATGCTGATATGGGATCCTCGTAATATTGAAGGACAATCAATGAGAATCCAGAAACGAGACAATATAATCCAATTTATCGGAAAAGAGATGAAAGAAAGGACTCAAGGTATTGATAGTTTGATAACTGATATTGATGAATTGATAAGTCATTTGGCTTGTGAAGTTAATGACAAGATAAATGCTTGGTCACGGGACATTCTGAATAAGATAGAACAATTGGTTTGTTCTTATTTTACTCTCTTTCATTACATTTACGGTGTTACTAACATATAATTTCTAACTATGCAATTTGGAAAGCATACAAATACCACGAATATAATAAATGATTTGCAATTTTATCACTCAAAAAATTTTACATTTAAATTTCTTTGTTTTATCTAAATTATGTCATTTTGTAGCATTACTTACGTATTTTGCTTTCATTCATATTCAGAAATCTACTTCAAGTATGTACACAAGTGAAAGATAAATTACTCTATGACAAAGAGAAAAAGCTTGGAGTCTTGACCTTTTGCTGGAGAATATTGATAATATCATAAAGTCTTGGGTAAGTCCATTTTCAACCTCTTACTAATAACAACTATAAAATCTTATATTGTTTGAAGGGGTAGGGATCACAAAAATTAACTACAATATTTTTTTTAAGTAATTAAGTACACAAAATTTATTTTCAATTCTTTAACATTCCATATGCTAATAAAATATTGTTTAATATATTATTTGTTGAAACAATCAATTTTGTAACACTTCCTTATTTTCGATCTTTCACCAGATTATTCAAGAAAATCACATTTTCTTATATGGTGGAATGATGCTAAATGGGTTCGAGAGTTCACTTCTAAAGTAATTGAAGTAAGCTCTAAAACTCACTCAAATATAAAGTTGGCTTATGTAAGTTAAAATGAAATGATAAGAGCAAGCATTAGTGAAGAAAACATGGGTCATATATTGACTAGTCCCTACCATGTTTGGTGGTTTTGGGCGCGACTCCAAAGCTCTTTCCTATCAAGGATCAGTTATTTAAATGCAACAAGTCCGGTTGGTGATGAACGCAATAATGAAATTGCACGAGGGTTCAAAAATCTGTTGGCTTATATATGAAAGTGAGAGCGCAACAATAAAAGGGTGGGCATTGTTAAGTAAAGGGCAAAAAGTGATTGTTAGTGGATATGGAACTAAAATATTGAGTCATGAATATCAGAATTGGACGAAAAGCATGGCTCCACAAAGTTTTGGCCAAGCATTCAAAGATTATTGCCAGATGATTTCTTCTTGTTCATTCAATATCCATCCTTATTGTGCTCTTGAATACCCAATCACTTTGGAAGAAACTATAGAGAATGAAAAATGTCCCGAGTGCTCCTATCATATGCAAAAGTTCATCACTTTTACATGTAATCATGGTGATATTTGATTACAAGGATGATGGAAAACCTTTTCATGGCTAGGCATTCAAAGACAAGCACATGAGCAGGCTTGTTTTCTCTTGTGCAGTATATTACCACCTACTTTGTGTGTATGAGAAATTGCTTCCGATTGATAATTTATGTATTGTTTCTTTATACAATAATTTCCGAAGACTTATACCACAAAAGAAAATTGCTCATGGAAAATATAATGTGTATAATTCAGCTAAAAAAGTTATACTTAAGTCTTCAACAGAGACAAAAGTAATAGGTAAATTAGTACAATAAATTTTTGGTACAAACTAAACTTTTCTCATCGAGACAATTTTTATTTTGAACTAAAGATTTCATACCCAAAACAAATATTTTATTTAAAAATATAATTCTATGATTCCTTTAGTATAATTAAGTAGTGGCTAATGCTTAATTTGCTAATTGATCAATTGCCATTTGAATCGCCAATCTATTATAATTGTTGATTTAACCTAGTGGTCTGGTACTTAGCAATAATCCAGTGTGTGTTGTTGTTAAGGAGAATTATATTTGATTATGTGGTCCAATGGTACCCGGGTTGGACTTCCATTTGGAAGGTTGTGAGTTCAAACCTCAGTGGAGGCATTATTAGAGCTAGTAGCATTCAAAAAAAAAAAATATTTGATTATCTGGTTGTAATAAATTGGTGAGTTTTGTTCATTAGGATTTGTGTCTTTCTTGTTTTTAATGCTATCAATTGAATTATTTTATGAGTTTTATTTGATAATCAGTTGGTAAGGGAAATAACTATAGATGTCTCGTAGTTATCAACAAATTTAGGATGGATTGATGTCTGAGCCATTGTTCGGTTTGCTATAACCAAGTCTGTTTTGCAATTATTATAGGCCTATCTTTGCAACTATGATCTATTGCATGAACCATTGCGAAAATAAATCTATAACTATAACCTGTTATTCATTGAATTCTTATCACTTGCATCTTGTGTTTGTTGCTAGTTTATATTTGAATCTTTTTATTTCACGCAATTAAACCCCATGTGGATACAATCCCTACTCACCATTATATTGTTTTTTTAGGAGTAGGAATTTATTTTGGCAGTTGACACCCAACCAAAATTTGGTGTTGTTGCCGGTGGACGGCTTGTAATTGTTTTTTTTTTTTTTTTTTTTTTTTTTTTTTTGCTTATTGTATTTATTTTCCAGTTTATGCCTCGTTCTTCTAGTACAAGTGATTTGCAATTTGATCCTGATATTGATAGAATAGAGTGTAGGCTAAGGAAAGAGGCATGAGAAGCAAAACAAGTGTCATCGTTTGGGAAGAGATTACTTTAAGAGAGTTGGCTAATCCTATGTTAACGAACAACCCTTGTGCTGTTGTGCATTACTTTTCCAAATATTCGAAAACCATTTTGAGGTAAAATCTGGACTAATCCATTTGTTGCCTATTTTTCGTGGTCTTGCAGGTGAAGATCCTTACAAACATCTCAAGGAATTTCGATCATGTTGTGTGTTCAACTTTAAGCCCACAAGGACTAACAGATGATCAAATTAGATTGAGAGCATTTCCCTTTTCATTAATTGATAAGGCTAAGGATTGACTATTTTATTTGTCCCCATTCAATTACCAAATTTAGTCCTTGAGTATTGAATCATTTCCAATTGTACGTAATCCACTATAAAGTTTTTCATGTGTGAATTATAATTGAAAATGATTCAATACTCAATGACTAACTTTGCAAATGAGTGCGGGGTGGTCAAAGGAATAAATCCGGAATTAACTATAATATATATTACATACAAAAATGGTTACACAACTTCAAAACTCGTGTTTTTAACATAAAATTGAGGTGATGGACTAAAACGACAATTAAATGAACAATTCAGTGACTAAATGGGATCACATGTATAATTAATGGATTGAGTTAACCATTATAGCATAATTGAAGGACTAAAACGGTCATTCTCTCTTAATATATTCTTTAATTTATTTTAATCCACTTTTCATAAAATCAAAATAAATCCATAGTGCCCAATGTTGCAAAAATCACGCTTAGGCGGCGCCCGGCAACATCAAGGAATGCAAGAATCTGCCTCCTCCAAGGCCGGGTTCATAGGCGGCCAGCTAGATAATTTTCTTCAAGTGTTAATGGTTGGAAGTTCAACTCTCAATGGAAGTGGGCTATTGACCTTCTTAATTTGAGATGGTGAATGTTTACAGTGTGCACTCTTAAATAGTTCAATGCATTTTACTTGTATATGGCTCTCATTTTACTTGTAAGCTTTGCTAAAAAAACACCCATTCACTACATCTTAGAACACTTAAGAGATATACCTAAATCCTGTATCATCCCATTCCCCTAAAAGATAGCAAATCCATTATATATAGCATTTTCCTAGACAGATTGTGATGTAGCTTACAAATAGCTATTTGCCTCTTAAAGAATCAATGTTGCAACAGTAAAAATGCTTAAATTTTACCTAGACTAGATACATACTCTGAATTGTTGCAACAGTAAAAAATCCCCTCCCTCCTGTGTTTGAGATTGCTTTTGTAATACTACCACACTGAAGCATAATCAGAATATATCGGGTTCAAATCCATCAGGATAAAACCTCCGAACTCGAGGGGCTACTTTCAATGCTTGCCATGCTCTTATTAGGTATACTTTTCTCCCAGTGCAACACTTCCAACTGCTGCTCCCATAACCAAAGGAGTTGTCTGAAACCCAAAATGCCAAAGAGCATTCATTATACTTTCACCTCCAGAAATAGTATCTTCAAACTACATCAATACAATAGATACTTCTGTTTTAGTCTATAGACCATATGAAGAAATTCAACCAAAAGAGAAAAGAAAAAACTAATCAACTTTTCATATTATTAAATGTTTCCATACTCTGTACTCACAATTCACAACCAATCAATAACAAATATCAAGAACAAAGAAACTTTGATCTGATATGCAATTGCAATGATAATACAATGCCTAGACTGCCCTGTTAGCACCATGACCAGGCATTAGAGTTTTCCTTAAAAAGGGAATAAAAATAAAAACTTTCTAAAAGGAATTCCCAGCCCACAAGACTTGCTGATTATATTATAAAAACTTCCTAGTCTGCAGTTTCGGAACTTTAAACCATTTCTGGAAGATGGAACTAATTAAGCTAAAAGTAGAAGAAGATTTACCATATTGGAACTTCAGACGAGGAACGAATTCAATTTCGAACCTTGTTCTCTCTGCAATGAGTATTTTGGGCCATGTAATCAGCAGAAAGTAACAAATAGAAGCAGTGAATTGAAGTCAGTATACTAGGAAAAAGAGGTCATAGTTACCTCATACTCGCATATGGGAATAGTCTTTAAAACTACTACCTCATATCTATCTATAAATGCCACAATCAATGTCTCCAAAGTAGGCAGTCTTGTTTCTCAAAATTGTATTCAAATCCTTACGTTGGTTCTGCACAATAAGGTATAAATTACAAAGTAGAGTCTCAGATTCTACAAAACTAGAATTTCAACCATAAATGTACATAGAACGGGAGTACTAATGAGTAGCATATCAATGTTTGAGCATGCAGATAATGCCAATCTTAGGTTTATAGATGAATATTGAATATAAGCTGTATAAAATTGGGAACAATCCAGGTCAGAAGAACATACAGTTGTGCAGTGGTGATTTACATTGTCTATAATCACACAAAGCTTATAAATTAATGATTCAAAACAGTTCCTGTCATAGCACTTCACTGAGATCTCAATGAAAAAACACTATGCAAACTACCAAGATATTTTAGATGAATAGATCACATTTTTCAATATCACTTTCCGACAGAACTCAGCTAGGACATATAGATTCTATCTTCAAATTTGAAGATGAATTTGTGTTTCAATGGGAAGAGGAGGAAGGATTAGACTATTAGAGGGGTAAAACTACACACAAAATCAACTGAACCCCAGAAAATTTAAAATAGTAGAAGAAATAACATTCAGATAAACAAACTGTTTTAATCCACCACAATTTCAACAATGACATTAGCTAGCAACAAAGTTTTGAGAAGGTTAGCAAAACATCTTACCTGAAGTGGTTCCCTTCTGATTGAAAGCAATCAGGCTTTGATCCAAGTTTAATGAACTTCATCTTGGCAACTTCAAGATTTGTTCCTCCTTGAAACTTTAACTCTTATATATACTTCAATGTTACTAAACTGATCACTGTAAAATTAAATACCTGTGTTCATTGGCAGACAGACTAAAAGATCAAATACATCCGGAGTTCCAGAAACAGAAAATAGAAAACACTCAATATAAAGAACAATTTAAAGACATCCAGAAGAAGAAGCTGCACCGATATTATGAATTCCATAACACAATTAAAGGCATTTATATAACAAAATAATCCCTACTCTCAATCAAAATGAACTGAACTGAATTTGATAGACATTCATAACAAAATTCAAAACTCTTTGAATTAGTTTCAAAAAACACAAAAAAGCATATACAAAGAGCATATTTGTATCTCCTAAATTGAAGTGGTAAGTTGATTAAAAAAAGATCAAGAAAGCCTAACTAGAGCCATCCACAAATCTACGTCAACCCGAATAGCCCACAATTGAACTATCATCTTGCTTTCAAATTTATTCCGTCTTCTTATTTCATTCCAAGTATTAGCTATGACGTAAGATACACTGGGAACTCCTCTTTCCTTCTTCATCTCCCACCTCCTCAAGCTCACCTTTGCTACCTCCATCATTGGTGTGATCAACGGAACTTCATCTATAGAACATACATTCTTCCCATTGCGCTGACAAAGTAGAAGATGCTCTTCTTCCGTAAGGAACTCCTCCCTCACAAGCCTCGCTGGGATTGACAGCCTATTTTGGGTGCTGTTTACATCCGTTTTGGTAAGCTCCTTTTGAATCACTAATTTCTCGACACATACTGCCCGCTTACCAGCCAACTGGAGAATTAAATTTTTGAATTTAACTGGCAGTCCTGGTGGTGGTGGTTCTGGACCGTTGTTGGGCACCCTACTTCCCCTCTTTCGCTTCTTGGAATTGATCCTCTCTGCCACAGCTTCTCCCCCAACCTCATCATACTTTAATCTCCTCTTTAAAGAAGCTCTGCTGCCATCAGTGCCACTGGAATGTGAAATAGCAGATTCTGGTGTGTTGCTTCGTGCTGCACTTTGCACCACAGACTTCAAAGCATTCTGCCAAGATAAGCCATAAAATGATCCCATCAATTTTTTCCTCCATTCCTCCTTATTAGGCACTGTATGGTTGGAAGGAATGATCAAACTCTTATTGAGATCAAGCCCACAGTACTGATCATCATCATCATCATTGTAGCATGCTTTCTTTTCTTGCTTATCCTCTTGTTTCTCTTTCTCAAGTAGTAAGCTCTCTTGCTTACACACCGCAAGTAGATAATCAAATCTGCAAGAACCCGAGGGAAGGGTAATGTCAGCAAAATCTTTAAGACGAACCACGATGACCATACAACAAGGTATGTATTAAAAACTGAATATAGCAGATAAGAAACTGAGTTCAGAACAGAAGAAAATCTAGAGAAACTCTAGTTAAGAATGAATGAAGACTAAGTGTATCTGTGTATGTATTGAAAACTGAATATATAGCAGATAAAAAACTGAGTTCAGAACAGAAGAAAATCTAAAGAAACTCTAGTTAAGAATGAATGAAGACTAAGTGTATCTGTGTATGTATTAAAAACTGAATATAGCAGATAAAGAAACTGAGTCCAGAACAGAAGAAAAACTACAGACTGAACCATGATAGAAATAAACACCACACAACAAGATATGTATTAAAAACTGAATATATAGCAGATAAAAGAAACTGAGTTCATAACAGAAGAAAATCTACAGACTGAACCATGATGGAAATAAACACCCCCACAACAAGGTATGTATTAAAAACTGAATATATAGCAGATAAAAGAAACTGACTTTAGAACAGAAGAAAAACCAAAGAAAATCTAGTTAAGAATGAATGAAGACTAAGTATATATGTGTGTGTGTATATGTAGGGATGGATCAAATACATAATACATATATACTAAATTATTTTCCAAATCCCATCATAAATCAAAATTGAGAAATAGCAAATGTTGAGTTACCTTTGGTATGAAGATCTGCTGTCACTGCCACTGGAATGTGAAATAATAGACTCTGGGGTGTTGCTTTTCCTCCATTCCTCCTTGTCAGTGTGGTTTGAAGGAGTGATCAAACTCTCATTGAGATCAACTCCACCTAAATAGTATTGATCATCATCACCATTGTAGCACCCTTTCTTTTCTCGCTTATCCTTCTGTTCCTCTTTGTGAAGTAGCAATCTCTCTTGCTTACACACCTCAAGTAAATAATCAAATCTGCAAGAACCCCCAGGAAGGGTAATGTGAGCAAAGTCTTTAAGAGAAACCATGATATGATGAAAAATAAACACCACACCACAGCAGAGCTGAGTGCGTAAATGTAGGAATTAAGAAATTGAGTTGAGTTAAGTTGCCGTTGGTATGAAGATTAAGTATATGTAGGGAGGGATAGAGGTTTCCAAATTCATCAGAAATCAGAATTAGGAAATTGAGTTGAGTTACCGTTGGTATGATGAATCATACTGTACCGTTGGTAATTGTATGATTCCCTCCAAACTTCCCGCCGCTCCCCCGCCGACTCCGACTAATTAAAATTTCAAATATTCCTTTTTTTTTTTTTAAATAGAAATTAAAAGCGTCTCTTAGCTTACCGGCGACACTTCTAGGTGGAAGAGCAGCTCCGGCTGAGGCGATGATAACCACCGGTCCACCCCTCCTCTGCTCCTCCGCCGTCGCATTCTCGTCTGAACTGCTGCGGAGGAAGCGAGAAATTGAGTTACCATGGCTCTTGCTCCGCCGGAGATGCCGCCGTCGAAGCCGAACTGCTGCGCTTTGCTGCGGAGGAAGACGAGGAGAGAAGAGACGCTTCGCCATTCTCGGATCTCTCTCTAAATTCAATGAAGAGTTTGATGCTGAATGAAGAGTTCACTAACATTAAGTTTGATGACTATGTAATTAAGAACATAGTAATTCACATTTTAACTCTTAAATTTCAAGGGAGAGATAGAATTTATATGGATGAGATGACTAAGTCGTAAAATGTCACCCTAATCAAGACTAATCAATAATTAACTCATTAATAAATACATCATAGCAAATATTATGTGTACGTGAATTTCCACAATGTTTTAGAACATTATGACATTTTTTTTTTATTTTAATAAATAAGCAATAATTGTTGGATAGGTATATAATAAATGATTAAATAAATTAGTTTTGTCATATTTATTGAAACTATGAATAATATTTTGGTGTTAAGTTGAAAATGTTTATTATTTTATACTTCAAATTTTATTATCTGTTAATTAAGAATGTTGATAAATAATTTTGATAAACTTTAAATTTAAGAATTAGATGAAGTTCCAAGAAGAATTGGAGAATCAGTAGAAGTTTCAAAAATAATTGAGGAATAGGAAGAAGTTCTCGAAAGGGATGAAAAATCAAAATATATTCTTAAAAGGATTGAGAGATCATAAGATTTTTGTTATTCCCTAAGGGTCCGTTTGGAAAGCAGGAAAATGACTTCTGGAAAATGTTTTCTGGAAAATGAGTCATTTTCCGGAAAACATTTTCCTTTCCAGTGTTTGGTTGCATTATGGAAAACTGTTTTTCTGTGTTTGGTTCATTTTCTGGAAAATGAGTAGAATTGTATAATTAAACATTTTAATTATTTTATTTAGAATATTACAACATGTATAATAATATATAATAATATAATATTAATTTTAAATATAATAAAAAATAGTTAAGTTTTTCAAAAAAAAAAAAAACTAATAATATATCAAAAATATTATGGTGGTGGTGTAGTGGTAGTGGTGTTATTCGTTATATAATAATAATAATAATAATAATAATAATAATAATAATAATAATAATAATAATAATAATAATAATAATAACAATAATAATAATAATAATAATAATAATAATAATAATTGGTGGTGATATGACGGTGGTGGTGTGGTGGCGGTGGTATGGTGGTGGTGGCGACGGTGGTGGTTGCGGTGGTATGGTCGTGGAGGTGGCGGCGGCGGCGGTGTGATGGTGGTGGCGGTGGTTGCTGTGGTATGGTGGTGGCAGCGGCGACGGTGATTGCGGTAGTATGCTGGTGGTGGCGGCGACGGCGGTAGTGGTGTTTGTGTTATGGTGGTAGTAGTATGACGGTGGTGGCAGTGGTCGTGTTGTTGCGGTGGTGGTGGCGGCGACGGTGGTTGCGGTGGTATGGTGGCGGTGGTGGCGGCGGTGGTTGCGGTGGTATGGTGGTGGTGGTGGCGGCGGCGACGGTGGCGGTGGTGTGGTGGTGGTGGCGGTGGTATGGTGGTGATGGCGGTGGCGGTGGTATGGTGGTAGTGGTGGCGGCGATGGTGGTTGTGGTGGTATGGTGGTGGTGGCGGTGGTAGCGGCGACAATGGTTGTAGTGGTATGGTGGTGGTGGTGGTGGTGGCGGCGACGGTGGTTGCGGTGGTATGGTGGTGATGGCGGTGGCGGTCGTATGGTGGTAGTGGTGGCGGCGACGGTGGTTGCGGTGGTATGGTAGTGGTGGTGGCGGCAGCGGTGGTGTGAAGGTGGTGGTAGTGGTTGCGGTGTTGGTGATGGTTGTGGTGGGGGTGTGATGGTGGCGGGGGTATAGTGGTGGTGGCGGCGGTAATAGTGGTGGTGATGGTGGTATGGTGTTGATGATGTTGGTGGTGGTGTGATGTTGGTGTAAAAGTTGGAAAATGACTTCCCCCCAAAAAAAAGGGAAGTCATTTTCCTCCAAAACAAACCTATTTTCCAAAGTCAACGGAAAATGATTTCCGTTGACTTGATTTTCCAGGCACATCCAAACACTGGAAACTTGGAAAATGATTTCCAGAACTCATTTTCCAGGCTTCCAAACACACCCTAAAGCCGTTTTTTTATGGAGAAAATCTAATAATGAATATTGTATTTATTAATTTAATAAAATCTTGGTCGATTATAATGAATTTAATTTACGAATAATTTATATTATTGTTATTTAATTTAATTTAATATATATACTCCGTATATATAAAATTATTATATATTTCACGTTTATTTATTATATATTTATATTTATAAAATGAAACTAACTAAGTAACTATATTTATAAATCAAAAGATGAGAATGGCTTGTATAACATTCTCTAGTAAATTCTCTCTCTCTCAACCCTCAAAACAATTTGTTGTTTCAACTTTGTCCCAATAAAGCCCATTGTTTGTTGTTTCCATTGTTTCGTTTAACCAACGAAATGAACTAAAGGACATCAACTCGTTAAGCAATGAATTTATACAACCCACCTGCATGGGTAGCTCAACTGGTCATAGAGGTAAAATTTTGGAATAATGACCAGCGATCGAGTCTCACCAGCGGCAGAAACATCAGAATAGCCAGGGAGTGTGGGGGCTAGTCACCAAGATTTACATCCCCTCCCAAATGCTCTGTCGGGTTGGGGTCATTCTTCCTTTTCCTTTTGGAAGAATGAATTACCAAATCATGCAACATCAATTCGTGATTAATGAATTGTATACCAATTCGCCAAGTTTCGATTCGATACCACCGAATTGATTAATGCATTGATTCATTAACAACCAACGATTCATTAACACCAACGATTCGTTAACACCAACGAATCATTAAAACAAACGAATCGTGCATATCAATCTGAGTACTATTCGGTTCCAATCGTACGCAATATTCATATTTCTCAATTTACTTTCTACCAAACTAAAATAACATTCATAAATTCGCAACTCCAAATATTATTTATGCTTTCATATATGGTAGTTCATCTGAAATATTAATCTTCATTACTATATAAATGTCTAATATTCCTCCTCCATTTATATAGTAAAATTAATACTGTACCAAGATAAATCCAAAACTCATGCATAAATGAAATTAAAGTGTTTTAGAGATTGAACTTTCACATAGTGTTATATGTGTTACATTAATTCGGATTGCAGTGATGGACGAACCTTGAATCGCGCAGTCTCTTTGAAGAAACGTAGATATAACACACACAAGTTTTACCGTCATTACAACTCACTGTAACTTGACATTATTATGGGTCATGTGTCTGTATCCATTAATGAGCACGTACCAAGTAAAGCCCAAACTTGTGTGAAGCGGCCACACTTCATACTCACAGAGGCTAATCTTTTATATCATGCACTGCACCTTGCATTTTTTCAAAAGATCAGTTAAGAGTAAAAACACATCCCTACAACAATGCAGAACCAAGCATCACTTTTTCTTGGGATACAATTTTTAATTTAAACTTTTGATGCTTGCAATCACAAAAATGAAGTACTCATCTACATTGACTCAAGGTCTAACGTAATAACTTAGACGTGAGTTGAGCTTTCCTTCACTTGCAATTAAATAATAAGGTTTCCTGTATCCCTTCCGATGTCTTTAGAACCATGTCCCTTGCAAAGACTTTTGCAAACGGATCCGTTAAAACTGGGAATGTACCAAGTCAAGTGCTACAACACTATTACCTAGGATTTCCCACATAGCTAAGTCTCAAGCCCATATGCCTTCACTTGTCATTATAAACACAAGTTTATATGATATGGCCAGTGTTGTGACGATGTCATAATGTATTAAACTGGTGACATCGGTTTTGGCCAAACTAGAATCTAAATAATTATATTCCTTAACCAATCAACTTCTTGCATGTCAAAGCCAACGTAAGAAATTCAGATGCCATAGTTGAAAAGGCAACTTTACTTTTAGAAACCCATAAAACAACACCTCCTCCAAGCAGAAATATTCATCTACTAATTGAAGAACAAGTTTCATGATTAGACATTCAACTGACATTAGAATATCTTTCCATGATGGAAATTTCTATTAAATATACTAAACCATAATTAATGGTTTTATTCAAGTATATCAAAATTTCTTTTAATCCCATCCACTTAGCCAACTGAACATGATGATAGATAGAATTTTAATATTCTATTAATGAACTGGTGAAATAAAATATTTAATTGATTATACCGGAACCCACTTAATAGGTTCCTAGTCAATAAATATTTATTTCCTGCAAATTCTATAATCAAGAATTTCAATCACCATGTTGAATTCATTAACCGTGAGTGATTCTTTAAATAAAAATTAAAACTCCTCCATTTGAAATACCATCCACTTTGGAGAAATCATATACCGATAAACCTCCTCCATTTAGCAATATCCATTCACTTTGGAGAAGAAACCATTTTTTATTTAAAGCTTCAATTTTTCATGTTTCCTCTAAACTGAAGAATCATACCAACTTAAATCATAATTCATGATTTAAATATGAAATTCTTTTCACGGCTAATTCTCATACTAGATAAACCAGTAAACTTTTTGACTTTCAGGATTTTAACACATTCTTAATATGAGAAATTGTGTGTTAAATACATTCATAAATTTTTACGAATTTCATTATGCATACTTCATGCATAAAACCTCCTGCATCCCTTCAGTATACTGGAATATTTTTAATGCATTTCTGTCTTTATCAGAAACTTAAAAGAATATTCTCACGGCTTTCTGCCTTCATAAAAATATAAAAAGATATTCTAGACTTTCACAAGAATAAAATTATTTGTGTGCTAAAATAATCAATAATTCTATGCAGATATTATTAAATAATTCCACAATTTGTAACCAAGTAGAAGGCAACAAAAAAATGACATCACCAAAATAATCCATATTTGGCAGATTTACCGCACCTCAAGATCCAACGTATTATATATGTATCTTGTATACTATGCATGCAACCGAGACAAAATCTCAAAATAAAAATATTTATACACATGCATAACCATATCCTTGTATCTATCAAACTATGCAAAACTCAAAAGAATCTCATGCATATATTCTAGACATGATCCAGAACTTAACCATTAAATAAAATAAAACTTACATTCATGCCGAGGCCGAGACAAATGAAAAGTATTGTACTGATCACATTCTGTAACTTGTATCTGCTTTAATGATCCATCTCTTCCGGCTTTTGATGCGCTAAAACCACTCACCCCATCGTGGAGAGAACATATCTTCTCATGCCAATTAAATCATGGCTAACAAAATGATTTATTTAAATAAAATCATTTCACACATCTTACTAATCATCTTGCCATAACTTGATGCCACTTGATTTTAAGTGAATATGAAGGCAGACTTCATAACATGGATCAAATCCATATGTATAACATGCACACGACTTGCCATGAACACCATGCAAATATCTACACGGAAATCTTCTTGTACATAAACAACGACAAACCCAAAATTGATTTATGTCATCCTCTCATCAACAAATTCGGAATCTCATTCCGAAAATATTACCGTGATGAGAACTTATTCTTCCATGCCTGACATCTTGCCTTCAAAACTTTCAAGGCAAGACCAATGATCACATATTTATAATTTTAAAGCTTATAGATTGTTGGAAAAGAGTGCTTGTATTCTGTAATACATTTGAGATACAACAAAACTATAGAATACAACAGGGAACAAAAACTGGATCATTTGATATCTTCAGGTGTGTAATCACTTTCTTATAAGCTTTAAATCTCCCTCTGATGGATTTAATTAACCCGGGGTAGACCTGAATTACTAAACCCGATAAATAAGGGATTGGAAAAGACGTTGAATGTGTGTCGCGGGGACAACTTTGTATTGATAACGTTTGTAGAAGGGTTACAAGGTAACATATGGTAATAATAATAAGAAGTAGATGTCCTAACAAGACAAGGATATGTCCTTTTATACTAAATAATTCTTCCAACCGACCTCAAGAGAATAGGGCGGGCGGTTGGATCTTAGTTGACCGGGTCACGCGGGGAGGCCCCGTTGGGGTCTCCAACTGGGGTCCACGTAGTAGGCCCCGCCCGAGGTCCACGCCAGAGACCCCGTTGGGGTCTCCAAGGCCTCTCGTATCACGCCGCCACCCAGGGTCGGATTGCCCCGAATCCATTCTCCTTATATATCCATCATGTATAACATGCACACAACTTGCCATGAACACCATGCAAATATCTACACAGAAATCTTCTTGTACATAAACAACGACAAACCCAAAATTGATTTATGTCATCCTCTCATCAACAAATTCGGAATCTCATTCTGAAAATATTACCGTGATGAGAACTTATTCTTCCATGCCTGACATCTTGCCTTCAAAACTTTCAAGGCAAGACCAATGATCACATATTTATAACTTTAAAGCTTATAGATTGTTGGAAAAGAGTGCTTGTATTCTGTAATACATTTGAGATACAACAAAACTATAGAATACAACAGGGAACAAAAACTGGATCATTTGATATCTTCAGGTGTGTAATCACTTTCCTATAAGCTTTAAATCTCCCTCTGATGGATTTAATTAACCCGGGGTAGACCTGAATTACTAAACCCGATAAATAAGGGATTGGAAAAGACGTTGAATGTGTGTCGCGGGGACAACTTTGTATTGATAACGTTTGTAAAAGGGTTACAAGGTAACATATGGTAATAATAATAAGAAGTAGATGTCCTAACAAGACAAAGATATGTCCTTTTATACTAAATAATTCTTCCAACCGACCCCAAGAGAATAGGGCGGGCAGTTGGATCTTAGTTGACCGGGTCACGCGGGGAGGCCCCGTTGGGGTCTCCAACTGGGGTCCACGTAGCAGGCCCCGCCCGAGGTCCACACCAGAGACCCCGTTGGGGTCTCCAAGGCCTCTCGTATCACGCCGCCACCCAGGGTCGGATTGCCCCGAATCCATTCTCCTTATATATCCATCATGAGTCCTCCACTCTCTGAGTTGCGAGTCTTCGTCAACGAAAGAGAGTAGCTCGAGTATAAGGTCGACCCCAAGCCCACGAGAAGGCGTCAGCCTCGCCTCCTTCCTCTTTGGCCGATTTCTGAGGTCGTCCCCAACTGGGGTCCACGTAGTAGACCTCAGCCGAGGTCTACGCCGGGGACCCAGTTGAGGTCTCCAAGGCCCTTCGCATCACGCCGCGACCCGCGGGTCAGTTTGCCCCGAATCCATTCTCCTAATATATCCATCACCCTCTATAAAAGCAACAAGGTTCAAGATTTAATCTTATGGGATACAAGAAGATGATGAATGAAATTCTCAAGTTGCTTTGTTTGAGAATTTCATGTAGAACTGTAGAACTGTGAAATATCTTGCACTACTACACAACAGCCTTTTAACGTCGGCTAAATAGAGCTTTTAACGTCGGCTAAGTTCCGAAGTTGTTCTGGGCGACGTTGTATATATTATCTATAACGTCGGCTATATAAATAGCCGACGTTATATATTTTTTTAAATTTAATTAATAATTACCTACAACGTCGACTAATAACAATTAGCAGACGTTGTAGGTAATTTTTTTTTTTAAATACTATACAACGTTGGTCAATTGGTATTAGCCGACGTTGTAGGTATTTTATTTTTTTATTAAATACCAATTAATCGACGTTGTAAACTGTATTTATTTTAAAAAAATATATATATTCAACGTCGGCTAATACTTATTAGCCGACGTTGTATGTTTTTTTTTTAATATACAGTTTATTTGTCCATTTATACCCAAAAACATGCTCAAATTACTCCCAACCACAACCACAAACTAAACCTGCTCAATTTCTCACAACCACAACCAAAACCTGCTCAATTATTGCACCACAACCACAGCAAAATATGTAGAATCTAATATTTATAATGAAACAAGTAATAAAAAGTAATAAATCTCACAATTTGATCCTAATTAATAATACAAGTTAACATTATCAAAACCTAATATCAATTTGTTAAATTTACATACTTAACCATACATCAACAAAGAAGTCGGCCCATACGTCTCTTACTTGATCAATTTCTTGTTGAGTGTAGCTCGATCCACCAACTCTCTCAACAATCTACAAAGTTGATAATTATTAAATAATTAGTAAGCTAGCATTTTTAAAATTAGAAAGAGAAAGGTATTATATTAAATTACATGCGCATTCAAAAAAAAAAAATATTAAATTACATGCCTTACTCATTCCCGCACATGCTTCTTTGGACAGAATTTCAAGCATGTATTTCATCACATAATATCCACATGCCGACATGCCGTACTTCCAACTTGTTGAGCACACTACATTTGAATTAAATTACATTTAAAATTTTATTTAATAAAAAACAATAAAATATATGTAGTTTTACAAATGTATAAAATACTTACCAAAACCTTTGTCCATTTTGGTGAACGAGTTGATCCATTGCTTCTCAACAACTTTTCTGAATTGACACACCTAAAATTATAAGAGATTAGTATACATAAATACTTTATGACATCATGCATACTTTATTAATTATACATATTAATACTTAAAAGTTCACATACTTTTCAACAATATCTTTGATGTCATCACGTGACTGGTCTCCAATTGAATCAAACCAATAGATTTCATTAAGTTGAGGACAAATTGCCATCAACATCCAATGGTCACTACAAATCAATAATGTATTAGTTGTAAGTAAATATAATATATAATAAAAGTGTATTATATATAAGTTATTTTATTTGAAACAATTAAAACTTACTTTAAAATATATCGCGCTAGATAGCATTGCTTTTGGCCATATTGCATGGTGACGTTGATATACCCTGTCCGTTTATCTATAGAATTCGAAATTGGTTGAATGAAATGTGGATCTAAGAAGCCATATGTGGTCTGTGATGCCAAATCAAATTTGTCATAAAGACCCCTATTCAAAAATACAATCAATCATATATATTAGTAATATAATAGATGAAATGAAAAATATTATATAAATAAATATAAGTAAAGAACTTAATTATTACCTTATAAAGAACTGCAATATGGAAACATCTAATGTCTCCATCCTTAAGAAACGCATAATCTCCAACGGGTCAAGTTGTAAGGGATAGTCAACATCGCCCACAATACCACGCTCCATCTTTATCACAACATTTTCATCAAGTTTGCGAACAATTTTATATACCTTTAGACATCGAGGACTCAAAGAAGTCGGATCAGCTATAGTCAGATCAGCAGAAGGTCGTTGCACATCGGAATCATAAGTCATTTGTACCTGTTCAATATAAGTAACAATTATTATTTTTTAAAAGTAAATTAAACACTATTTTAAAATCCAAAATTTTTTAAAATACATACCTCATCAGCTTCGGTATACAACTGAACCAACTTCTTTGGCCAAATAATAAAGTTGTGCAATGCATCCCTTAACAGTTGAACCTCATCGGTAGGGAAGGGTACCTTTGCACTTGACACGAGAATTTCAGTCACGATAACCTTCACTTGATCCACATGTATTTGTATCCCGTGAACCCTTTCGGCCTTGTAAACTGTCCCATGTGCAACTTTACGTCTAATGGGAACTTCCAAATACAATTCACATCCGACGTTATATATACGACGTTAAAAAAAAAAAAAAAAAAAAAAAAAAAAAAAAAAAAAAAAAACAACGTCGGCTAATTGTTATTAGCCGACGTCGTATGATCCTTATTTTTTTTATTTGTTTTATTTTTACTATATAACGTCGGCTATTTATGTTTAGCCGATGTTATATATAAATAATTATTTAAATAAAAACAAAAATACACCTTACGACGTCGGCTATCTATACAGCCGACGTCATAGGTTATTTATTTCTTTTTATTTTTATTTTTATTTTTATTTATAACGTCGGCTATTTGATAATAGCCGACGTTATAAAGTTAATAAATTTAAAAAAAAAAAAAAATTACAAAGTCTTTAATGTCGGCTATGTATATAGCCGAAGTTAAAGGCCCGATGTTGTATGTGAATTCTGTAGTAGTGTTTGGTTTCCTGCAAATTGATTGCTTCCATCAATTGCCTGTTGATTTCCTGTATCTTTCAAATGTCCCTCCAACATATTTATATAAAATATTTTGATGGTTATGAGAGGTTACATGGAAGTTACAGAAGTTTAAAACTCCCTGCCAACTTCCAAAAAGATATATCTTAACTGATATATTAATCATGGAAAATAATAATAATTAATTAAATCTTATTTTCATAAGATATATACCTCCGTATGTTCATGCACTGCATGCGAATTTATAAAGTAAAATATATATATTATATATATTTATTATTCAATGCATGTTCCATGCAATGCAACATAATAGTAGATAATATATATATGTATTTGTACTTCACACGCATGCAGCATCACCACGTCACATGCAGCCGAAACCACACCAGCGAATTGAGAGGTTATAACGCATGCTTCAAACGAATCCATTGTTTCGCTTAACCAACGAAATGAACTAAAGGTCATCAACTCGTTAAGCAATGAATTTATACAAACCGAATCTTTCGTTAATTACCGAATCATGCAACAATTTGTATTCAACGAATTGTGCATCAATTCGTGATTAATGAATTGTACACCAATTCGCCAAGTTTTGATTCGATACCACCGAATTGATTAATGCATTGATTCGTTAACAATCAGCGATTCGTTAACATCAACAAATCATTAAAACAAACGAATCGTGTATATCATTCTGAGTACTATTCAGTTCCAATCGTAGGCAATATTCATATTTCTCAATTTACTTTCTACGAAACTAAAATAATATTCATAACTTCACAACTCCAAATATTATTTATACTTTCATGGTAGTCCATCTGAAATATTAATCTCCATTACTATATAAATGTCTAACAAATTCTAGATACCTCTCATTTAGATCTCATTTACTAACTCCAAAGAGCTCACCCACTTCTTCCTGCAAGTCCTCGATCACTTAAAAAAAAAAAAAAAAAAAAAAAAAAGATGATTTGTTGTAATTTATAGCATGTCTCAAGGTAGACCTAAACTTTATAATTAAGTACATCTATTAACATGTAGCTCTCTAGAGGATTTGTCTTACATACATTTATTATATAAATATCCAACACTGATCACTAAAGGGGAGGGCTAGCCGTGGCATGCCTCAAAATAAGTCATCAAAGGAGGATTGACCAAGACCGCTTGAGATGAAAATCACTATTGGAAATTTATATAGTTATGGAGATTAATGTTTCAAATGTACTACCATGAAAGTTTAAATAATATTTGTAGTTGTGGAGTTATAAATATTATTTAAATTTGGTAAAAAGTTAATTGGAAAATACGGATTATGCGGAAAGTTGGAACTGAAGAGTACTCGGTCAGAGGATGAAGAAGATGGTGTGAAAAGACCAAATTGCCCATGATTAACCGGAGTTCTCGCCAGCTTGTTGACAGACTACGGCCGGAGGGACTAAATCGAATAAAAATTGAGGGACTACATTGATAGTTCGCTAATATATATAATTGAGGGACTAAATCATTGATTAACTCTTTTAAGAAAAATGATCAAATTAGTCACCTAACTACATACAAAAATGCAATTGGACCATTTAAGTAAAAAAATTACAATTATGTTCTCGAACTATCCAAAATAATACAATTCAACAAAATTTGACCTGTTTCTCCGATTTTTGTTATCGCCTGCGGTCATCCTATTGAAATATTACATTTTAAAAAATTATTTTAATAATTTTAAATAAAATAATGAAAACAAAAACAAAACCAACAAAAAATTGCTTCATTCATTGTCGTTAACTTGTCATTTGTCTTTAGAATTCGTTCCTCTAGTTTCATAATTTTTGAACTTTATTTTCACAATTTTAGATCTCAATATACAAAATTACAGAACTCAATATTCATAATTTTTGAACTCTAGTTTCATAATTTTGAACAATATTTTCAAACACAAAAAAAAAAAAAAAAAAAAAATCATTTGCTGAGGAGCGGTGCCACTAACGGCACCGTTATTATAGACGCGCGTTGTGGACTTGTGTCTACCACCTCATAATTTGCCCTAATTAACTAATTTTAACTTATTTGACTACTATTAGCTTTTCGACTTGGTTTAACAATTTGATTAATTAGCTTTTGGTAACAACTTATTGCTCCAAAACTCTAAAATTCAAAAACATGTTCAAAGTAACTTTTTCGATTAGCTTTTTTAGAGAGTCATTTTGCATGTAATCAGCCATCAGCTATCAACTAGTCAAACTCACTAACCAAATTAGCTAACAGCTATTAGCTAATAATAACTATTTACCAATTAAACGCAGCTTTTATGTAATTGCTTGTTGATTATTATTCATGATTTGTTTATAAGGTTTGTATTTGTTTTTGTTAATGAGAATGAGAGTAGGGATACTTTAATTTGATGGTTTCAAAACCTTCCCTGAACTCTTGGACTTTATCATCTAGCTAGGGACACTAACACAATTTCGAAGCTCTCCCGTTTAAGATTTTTGTATGCCTCTATTAGTCTCAAGCTAAGGTAAACTTCCTGCAGCCACTGTGAGAAGTACTCATAGCAAAATACAGACCAAGTGTTTTGCCTTGAAGGTCTGACTAACACAGAAATCTGGAAATAGGAATTAGGAATAGGAATGGTAGTTTTCGATCGATCTAATATGATGGGTTTAACAAAAACCATTACCTTATTCCCACCATTTGAGATCAAATAATAGTCACGAGAACCATAGACTAATTAAGAGAGACTGCAAGCTATCAAGTATCAAGTTTTTCATACTTAACCACAATTAACATCGTTACAGGATTAACACTAATTACATGCATAAGCAAACACAACAAAATATATACTAAAATCTGTGAAACAAAAACACTCGTAATCAACTAATCAGGCATATGACACATCAAAATCTGTAGTCAATATTGAGTAGGTGCAAATTAAAAGGAGAATAAACTAATATGACAGGCATTTCAATTCCCTCCCTGGCCCGCTTCTTGCAAAATCTCTTCGGTAATAAGACCCTCCCTCAAACTATGAACAGTTCCTCCAACAAACGTTGTTGGATAGCAACTAGTTCGGGATCCTCATTCAGAATACCCATATCATCATCATCATCATTATTATCATCACAGCCGCCATTATTATTCTCCCCTTGCATAGATTGTTGCACTACACCGGCCGGTTGTGCCAAAATCTCCTCCGTAGGCGGTGGAGGCGGTAATGTCTCCGTGGCCGTGGAATCATCTAACGGAATCCCCATCAAGATTTGCCATATCTTCTCAATAGGAACATCCTTGATTTCTTGAGGTTTATCATCTGCACTCTTTTTTCTTTGGAGCCTGCAAACCACAAAATCCTTTGTATGTTCCAAAACAGGATACTTCTCCGTAGCTTTCATGATCGCTGCATCATTGAGATAAAACTCTTTGAGAAGCCATTTCCGATCTTGCTCCGGTTCCTCTTTGTTCCGGTAAAGGAAGCACCGCTTATACCCTAACGCCACTCCAGTTCCCTTGTGAATTATTGATTTGCCTTTATCTTGACCGTGCCAGGTGCCACGTCTCTTCCCCACTGTGCGCGTGCGCTCGAATCTTGAAGCGGATTTGGATTTCCTGTTCAACTTAGTGAAAAAATATTGATATTTCTCATGCGAATCCCACGGTATATCTCCCATGGCTCTTTGTCCCCGTACAGATCTTCATGCCGAATATTCGTGTTAAACCAACCCTTCCCAGTAATAAAACTTAAAAGAATCATGAGCAATTCATAGTCGTAAGGTTGAAACCGATCACAACAACTCTTCTTCATATTTAGGTATTTAGTGCATCTGCAGGTAAGGTTTTGTAATTAGTAATTTTGTATGATCGACTACCGCTTTCCTTAATATTTATATTTGCATGTCTTAATTCTATTTCAATCAGAAGACAAATTCATATTTATATTTGTCTTAATTCTATTTCAATCTGAAGACAAATTCTATCAGAAGAAGCTGCACTGATATTATGAATTCCAGAACACAAATTAGAGCATTTATATAATAATAAAAAATAACCCCTACTCTCATTCAAAATGAATTGAACAGTATTTGATAGAAATTCATAACAAAATTCCAAACTCTTTTGAATTAGTTTCAAAAAGACAAAAAAGCATATACAAAGAGCATATTTGTATCTCCTAATAAATTGAAGTGGTAAGCTGATTAAAAGGTCAAGACAGTCTAACTAGAGCCATCCACAAGTCTACGTCAACCCGAATAGCCCACAATTGAACTATCATCTTCCTTTCAAATTTATTCCGTCTTCTTATTTCATTCCAAGTATTAGTTATGACGTAAGATACACTGGAAACTCCCCTTTCCTTCTTCATCTCCCACCTCCTCTTTATTTCATTCCAAGTATTAGTTATGACGTAAAAAAAATCAATGATTTCATTATTATGGATGAAAAGCATGTACGCCACTTTATTCATAATTTTTGAACTTCATATTCATAATTATTGAACTCTATATTCGCAATTACAGAACTCTATATTCATAATTACTGAACTAATGTTCATAATTATAAAGCTATTATTCATAATTTTTTAACTTCATATTCACAATTATTGAATCTCTATATTCATAATTATAGAACTATATGTTCATAATTATGTTCACAACTCTATGTTCATAATTATAGAACTATATGTTCATAATTTTTGAACTATATATTCATAATTATGAACAGTTTTGGAACCGTGTCCACCTTTATCCACCTTGCAAGGTGGACACGGTTCCACATCATAATTTTCCCACTTTATTGCTCTTATTACTTAAATTAAAAAATAAATTAGTAGTTACAACAAAAAATAATACATATGCATTTAATTAATTTAGAATTAGATGTCTCACAACACATGAAACATGTAGGGAAAAATTACCGCTACCAAATATCAACATGTGCTTGTAAGATAAAGAGTTCATAGCACAACTAAGATCTCAGTCATATACACAACAAGACAAATCTAAAACTCCATACATCATAATCTCATTGCATGATGAATCCATTTATGATACTACCAATAACTCAATTGCACATGACACACTACCAATAAAAATAAATAAATAAATAAATAAATAACATGTACTGAAGATGAAAACAATAACAATGCTACCTAAAAGAGAATTAGAAAAATTTATCTCTCATATATTATCTTGCATTATATTTATATACATTAAATTACCGATTTAAATAAACAAGTTTAACATTTATTTACCTATGCATGAACATCTTTTATATAATATTGCATTGGTATACTTTGAAATACTTATTTAAAAATAAGTATTGGGCATTATCCTATTCGCGCAAAGCGCGTAGAAAAACTAGTATATTAATAATATTTGAGTCGATGTATAAATATTTAAATTAGAACATAAAATATTATACAGTGTAACAAATTAAAGATATGGTCATTTTCCTACTTTCCAAACAAACTTTAATAACTATACAATTAACTTGTTAATTGTCATATTAATTATTAGATAATGGCCATGTTTGATTATTGACCAATTCGTCAAAATTTTAACAAATCCGTCATTTTAACATTTTATTTTAATCAAAACACTAAAAATATTATTTAATAACTCTGCAATTTCCTCCAAACTGCTAAAAACAAAAACAACACTTATACATTTTGGGGAAAGTTTAAGATTAATCTTTTCCCAAAATCCCCTAGTAAATAAATTAATTTAAAAACAAACTAGGGTTTCTCTAGGGTTTTCTCTCATCCCTTGTTGATCAAGGCTTTCCGGCGATTTCTTGTCTTCTCTTTCCGGTTCCGACGCCGGCGATCTCTCTCTCGGCTAGTCGCATGGATCCACCGTCGACGACGGAGGCGGTTGCTGCGTTGAGTCAGCGCTGGGCTGACGTCGTGCTTGATGACGAAGAGGAGGAGATTTTCGAACCTGTGGAGGAGGGCGGTAACGGACAGCTGATTGTGGCAGTTCGAACATGGCGTCTCATTGGAAGATTCTTGACTACCAAGCTTGTGAAGATGGAGTTTATGAGCCAAGTCATGGCTTCGGTATGGCAGCCGGTTAAGGGGGTACAGGTCTCAGAATTGCAACCAGGGCTTTTTCTCTTTGTGTTCTACCATGAAACGGATATTCAATTGGTTCTTGAGGGTGGTCCACGGTCCTTTGAGAATCATACGTTTGTTTGCAAACAGATTGAAGATGGGGTTATTCCGGTCTCGGTTCCGTTGGATACGGTCGACATGTGGATACAAGTTCATGACTTGCCGCTTGGCTATACTTCTGATCTTATTCTGGAACAAGTGGGGAATTTTATGGGAACTTTCATTAAAATTGATGATAGATTTGTGAATGCACCTTGGAAGACATTCTACCGAATTAGGGTTTCAATCTCTGTATTGAAACCACTAAAGTGGTGCATGAAGCTTATGAAGAGGGATAAGACGACTTGTTGGGTTAATTTCAAGTATGAAAGGTTACACAACTTTTGTTACTTCTGTGGCATGATGGAGCATTTACATAAATATTGTTTGAAAGCACGGGATGCAAGTATACCGGTCGATCAATATCCATATTGTGAAAACTTATGCGCTAGATTTAGGAAGGGTCCGCGCAAGGTGGGAGCTTCATGGCTCCTTGACAAAAATGGCAACCCAATGGTGGAATCCTCTTCGGATGATAGGCCAAATTAAAGGCACGGATTGGGGAGCATGAGCATGGGGCATCCGAGGCTACGCTTGAATGCGGGGAAAATAATATAGTCACGGCTGCAACCAAAAGAAGAAGAGCCGAATTGAATTTGAACAATGGAGGTAGTGCGAATATTGGTGGTGATGTTGTTATGACAGAGATCCAAAAAAACTTGTCCATGGTGGGTTCTGGTTCCCAGACCCGCCCGTCATTCACTACAAAAAAAATGCAAAAATAGCGACGGATTTAGCGACGGACTCATTCCGTTGTTAATGTAGCGACGGAATAGCGACAACGTAGTGACGGAGTTTCATTTTTTTATTAAATGGACATTTAATGACGGATTAGCGACGGATTTGCGATGGATTTTACGACGGAATATTTCCGTCGTTAAATACGTAGCTAATTTTAGCGGTAAATTTCCGCGCAAAAATTAGAGACAAATTTGCGACGAATTTGCGACAGATTTTTTGCGGGTTAAGTCTATAATTTTATTTGCTACAGATTAGCGACGGATATTCAAATCCGTCGCTAGAATTTTAAGCGAGATTCATTTGTGTAGCGACGGAGTCTTAAATCCGTCGCTAGATTTAAAGATCCGTCGTTAAAATAGCTACGGATCTTAAAATCCGTCGCAAGATTACAAGGTGGTTACTTAAATGTTGGTCATAGATTTTCTTTTATAAATAAAAAATAGCTACGGATTATTGCATCCGTCGTTATGTACTAAAACACGGAACATCATTTTTTTAAAAAAATATAGCAACGGATTATTGTATCCGTCGCTAAGTAGTTAAACATACTCCGTATTAGATAGAAAATCTGCCTAGCCTGTAAACACTCTAACCCTTAACGCCACAGTGAACCCCCGCTTCTCCTCTACATAGAAAACCCGCCGACGATTATTGTATCCGTCGGCGGATTCTTCACCGCGAACCGCCGCTTCTCTTCCCAACGCCACCGCCGACAGCCGCTACCTCTCCTCCGACCGCCGCGGCATCTTCTCCGACCGCCACTACCTGCTCCGCAACCACCGCTGCTTGCTCCTACAGCGCGGCGCCGACAGCGCTACCTGCTGCATCTTCTCTACCTGCTCCGCCGGCCGCCGGCCGCCGCCTCACCTGCCTCCTTCTGGTATGTATGTTTATGGCTTCCCCATAAAATTTGTTTTTATAACACTCAATATATAATTTGTTTGCTCTGCATTCGATACATTCAATATATAATTTGTTAATGCCGCTGTTTGCTCCGCATTCGATACATTCAATATATAAGTTGTTTTTATGGCTTCCCCATATGCTGATTAGTATTCACCGGAAAATATAATATGAACAAAACTGTTTTCCCCCAAAACATTCAAAGTAAATTCAAAATTTTCCCCAAAAATTTACGTAATAGATGCAAAATGTTTTCCCCCAACTTGCTTTTTGTGCTTGGCAGTATGGTACAGTGTTTTCCACTTTCTGTTGGATAATTACTACTGCATAAATGCATGCAATAGTGTTTTCCACTTTCATTTGATCATCAATACAATTGGTGAATGATTATCACTAAAAGAAGAAGGAAAGCCTGTTGGAATCTTGTTCCTTTTCTGGTTTAATTTAGAATTAGCTTCCCACTACCACTTTCTTTGTTCTTGTTACTAAACATTTTTTTTGGGTGGCTTCTTGATTGATTACAGGTATATATGTTAGTTTTAAAGTTATTTAGAATTTATTATTAAACTAAAAGAAATATAACTACTTAAATTTGTATGATGAGATGTGTTTTTGTACTTTTGATTTAAGTACAGTGAAATAATAAAGAGATTATGATGTGTTTTTAAGCCCAAGTAGCACTAGCAGTAGTGCAACTTTATCACCTGGATAATTGAATATGCACAAAATATCTTATTTGGGTTCATCATTTACAAATTTTATTTTTGATAAATGAAGTCTGCATTAGATTGTCTTTGATGTTGAAAGGACTATTCTCTATTCATACAAAGCTGTAAAAGAAAAGGAAAATATCTACATTGAAAATGTATAATATTACTGTGAAGAGAAAATCAGAAAAAACAAGGAAGAAAATAGCAGTGTTGTACCTCATCAATTAGTAGTTGCATTATGTGAAGGCAATGTTAGTATGTTTGTTAACATTTTGAGCTTTCTTCTGATTTTATTTCATGTGTTTTTTTGTGTGCAGGATCTTAGTAACATTATTTTTTTAAATGCAATAAAAGGTAAGAAACCATTATATTCTAGCAAAGTTCCACGGGAAGATCTATACAATCCGATGCTTCTACTGTTGGAGCCTGGGATTCAGCAAATGCTGAATCTCTTATCTCTTATGAAATATACCGCATGTGTTTGCTACTTTAGTTTCTCCTCCATTTTCCCTTATTATAGAGTGATTCCCGATCTTCTTTCTCTAATTGAGTATTTGTTTGATCATGCTGTTGATCTTTGCTTGAGATGGCAATTATGATGTTTTAGCTTATTACTGGTTAGATTGGACTGGATCTTTCTAACCTGTAACCATTTTATTTTCATAGTTTTGCTTGAGGGAAAAAGTTAGGGGTTGGTTAAGGAACATTATATTGCATCATATTGTTTCTGTGATGATTAGGGAATGTTTTGATTATATTTTGTATGCATAATATTGGTGTACATGTAATTTTGGTTCAATAAAGGGGGTTAAGAAGTGGGAATGATTTGTGTGCAACTATTTTGGTGCATTATGATTATGAATCAAATACATGACAGGACCGTTATGGAGATAGAAAATTTTTAATGCATGTGCAGTTTGCATACTGTGTTCTGAGCTTTTAAGTTAGCAACCGTATGACTCTCAAGAACAATACTAGATATTTATGAGATAGCTAAGGACTATTGCATGATTCTAGATTTCTAGAACACATGGATATGTTGCCTATCAAATTAGAAATTTCTGTTTGTTGTGAGTTGCCCCGTTCATAATATTGTTCTAATGATTGCATATTTACCCAAGTATATTAAGTCTATGGTTTTTATATTTGTCAAGCATTATGCTACATCACTTAGTAACTCTCTTTTATATTTTTCTTTGCTTTTATGTAAAACTGTTCTTGTTCTTAGTTCTTTTCCTTTATGGATTATAGATGTGGCAATTTTTCTTGTTGTCAGTGTTTGAACTTTTTGGTTATGATGTTTGGAAACTGTTGTCTTTTTTTTTTTTTTTTTTCTTTTTTTTGGGTTTCTAAAGTATTAGTAATAAGTGTGCTCATTTCTTGTTTATTTCAACGTGCGAATAGAAATTGTTAATGACAAATTATGGTTTCATTTCCTCATTGACTTTCAAATTGTTTAGGCAAGAGATTGGGCCCAAAGCTTGGAAGAACTGATGATTCGGGGCCTCAGGGTAATGAATACGGAGTAATCTGAAGCTATCTGATTGCTCCTGTTACACCAGAGGCTGGTTAATGATTTTGTTAAGATCCTCAGTCAATTGAACACATGATTAGATTATGTTTATTAATATATTTAGTATTGTTTCTAATGATATGTAACATTACACAATGATATACTTCATTTCTAATGATGTAACATTATACAATGTTATACTTTGTTTTGTTATTGAATTTGAATTTTATAATATAATATATTTTTTAATTAAATTATTGATGTATTATATTATACGTTTAATGCAGGTATGTCATATTAATTAGTGGTATATATATATTTTTAATTTTAAAAATTCAGGGATAAAAATTGTAATAAATTTGTAGTTTAAATATCTAATAACAATAAAGAATGGTAACAAAATAGCGATGGAAAAATCCGTTGTTAAATTTAGCGACAGATATTTTCGTTGCTAAGTGGTAGCTAAATGGCATCCAATGCAAATAATAGAAACAAATTAGCGACGACATTTTTCGTCGATACATGTAGTAACGGACGATAGCGACGGAAAATTTTGACGTTATATTTAGCGACGGAAAAATTCGTCGCTATTTCCTCGCAAATTTCATCATTGAATCGTCGCCGGGAGAAAAAATAGTGACGGATTGTTTTTGTGTAGCAACGGAAATTTCCGTCGCTAAAATTAGCGACGGAAATAAATTGTGTCGCTAAGCTCTAGCGAGGAGGCTTTTTGTGACGGACGAATTCCGTCGCTAATCCGTCGCTAAAGTGATTAGCGACGGATTATCCCCTATTTAGCGACGGAATTGGTCCGTTGCTATTTTTACATTTTTTTGTAGTGATTATGAGTACTATCAATTGGAACTGTCGTGGCTTGGACAATCCACGAACAGTTCGAGAGTTAACAGACCTAGCGTCGCGTAAGAAGCCTGATTTTATTTTTCTTATGGAAACTAAGGTAGAACGAATACATGCTGAAAGAATTCGTGTCAACCTTGGTTTTGATGGTCTTTTTTATGTTGATCTGTTAGGAACCTTGTATTAGGATTTTGATGATACCAATGTTTTGTAGAAAAGTAGACCCCTAACTATTATCTTTTTCGATCGCTGCTTTCGTCCTAGACGAGAGTTGCCATAACTCCCGTGTATTCGTGTTAAGCTAGACAAACACACGAAAATGAGTTATGACTAGTGATAGGGTCTCCAAGACGAATGAAGACACAAGGCATGATGAACAACAACGAAAGTCAAGCAGGAGTTGTCAACTATCACGAAAGGACAGTTTTGTTAAAGACGATTCTTACCAAGCATTACTTCTCTTCAACAACGAGAAGAATGTTTTGTCTGTCTGATTTGACAACATCCTAGGACAATAAGGACCTCATCTTATGGGACACATTAATCAAGGAGCATTAAATGAAGGTGTACCATCTCCTGGAGCTAAAGGACAAAACCCTAATGCTTTCCATACCTTCAACGGCTACATGGTACAACCTCATTAATGGAGCATTTAATGCATGAGGCTCTCCGATCCTTGTCCACTAGTTAAAAGGTTCGAAAATCTCATCTCCCTCCAACGGATGAATTTTCATCACCTATATAAACACACCTTCATCAACTAAGAAGGTGCTGGTTCTTTTCACTCGACTCATTCACTTGCAAAAGCTCTTGAACGCTCTCAAATCTCTAAAAGCTTTTGTGAACCAGTATTAAGGTGTTAAGTTACTTGAAGAAAGTCAGTTATCATTTTCTTACACCTTAAAGAAGTCTTGCCATTTGTTCGAAGCAATCATCTCTCACTGTCAAGACTTCATCACGTTGGAGAAATCAAGAAATCATTTTCTACCAACCTCAACTCTGAAGAAGAAGTTGATTGAGGCGGAGTAAACTCGAGAAGTTGAAAAACTTACGAAGGCTGTCCGACTTAGTGATCAAGGAGGTCTTTGTGTAATTGTACTAAAGAGTGATAGTGCAATCCTTCCATCAGTTGTGGAAGAAGAGTGGAGTAGGCAACGTTAGCCGAACCACTATAAATTCTCTTGTCCCTTCTATCCCTTTACTTACACATTTTATCTCTGCATTCATATCATCCTCATTATCACTTACCGAAAGTTTTCCTCATATCGTAAACTCGTGCAAAGCAATTAAACGAATCTAACTTTTCCGCTGCGCCAAAACACCGAAAGGTGACTTTGAGGGCATTTCACGAAGAGAGTCTATTCACACCCCCCCCCCTCTAGACTCTCGCTACATTCTATCGGGACCAACATGATCCGACTCGTTTGGGTGGTGGTTTGGCACTACTTTGGCGAAAGAATGATACGGCAAGTCTTTTGAGCTACTCAAAAAACCATATTGATATTGAGGTGAATATGTCCAGCTTTCGAAGTGGAGGATGACGTGTTATTTTGGCTACCCTCAGCGCCATAGACGGTCAGACGCATGGGATTTATTAAAATCTTTCGCACCTCGTTCCACCTTACCGTGGGTTATGATTGGGGATTTTAACGATCTCCTGTTTCAATACGAGAAGAGAGGAGGTAATCCGCACCCTAATAGTCTTCTACGCGGCTTTGGGGAGACTATTGATCAGTGTGGCTTGTCTCAATTGCCTATGGAAGGATACCGGTTTACTTGGGAAAAGGGGAAAGGTACGCCTGCATGCATTGAAGAAAGATTGGATAAAGTACTTGCGTCTAATGATTGGCGTGAAATTGTTCCTGGGGCCAGGGTTATTAATAATCTAATGAGAAAATCAGATCATTCTGCGTTGTTTCTAAGCATCCATGAAACGGTTCAGAATGCAGGGAGATGGAGGAGATGCTTTCGTTTTGAAATGGCTTGGGTGTATGATGAAGGGTGCAGGGGTGTGGTACAGAAATCATGGGAGGAAGGGAGGAATGAAGGAATTCAAGACTGTATAGCATACTGTGGGAGTCAGTTATCCAAATGGGGTGGAGACCGGTATCATAAGTTTGGTGAGAAAATCAGGCTCCTGCGAAAACAACAGTTACACCTTAGGAGTCGCACTGATCCAGCATCTTTAGCTGAATTCCAGCGCCTGGAGGGAATTCTTAGAAATATGGAGACCCAAGAGGATAATTACTGGAGACAAAAAGCCAAGCAACACTGGTTTAAGAATGTAGATGCTAATACGAAATTCTACCACAAGTATGCCTCTCACCGTAAGAAGAAAAATACTATTTATATGCTTATGAATGATAATGGGGATTGGATGGAAGGAGATGCTATGAATGCAATTATCTTGGAATATTTTAGCCATATCTTCTCCTCTTGTGATCCTATGGATGGTAGTAACTTATTTTTTGAGGTACCCCCACGTGTAACCCAGGCTCAGAATGAGTTATTATTATGCCCCTTTGAGGTAACTGAAGTTAAGGATGCCCTGTTTGCAATGGCCCCAGACAAAGCCCCTGGGCCAGATGGTATGAACCCAGGTTTTTACCAACACTTCTGGGATGTGGTTGGTAATGATATTTCGACATTTATACTGAATTGTCTTAATAATCAGATTTTACCCTCTGACCTGAATAACACGGATGTGGTACTTATCCCAAAAAAGAAACCCCTGAGATGGTAGCAGATTTTCGGCCAATAACTTTGAGCAATGTGATTTACAGAATAATGGCCAAGATGATTACACAGAGAATGAAGCCTTTAATGGAAGGTATAATATCTGGCTCACAAAGCGCCTTTATTCCTGACAGACTGATTACTGATAATATTCTAGTAGCTGCAGAAGTAGGGCATTATTTGAATAGAAAACAGTGTGAGGCTGTAGGTTAGGGTGCTCTTAAACTTGATATGGCCAAAGCCTATGACCGTATGGAATGGCCTTTCCTCCGTGGGATGTTGGTAGCCCTGGGTTTCGATAATAGGTGGATTGAATTAATTATGTTGTGTGTGACTACTGTGTCATATACCCTTATGATAAATGGCTCCCGTAGTGCCTTCATCACGCCCACGCGTGGCCTCCGTCAGGGAGATCCATTATCCCCTATCTGTTTATTATTTGTGCAAAAGGTCTTTCAGTTTTATTGCAACGGGCACAGAATACAGGATTAATACATGGTTGTAGGGTTGCTAGAGGTGCACCTCCTATCTGTCATTTATTTTTTGCAGATGATATCCTACTGTTTTTCAGAGCAAATGTGCAGGAAGCATCTGAGATAAAAAATTGTTTAATGTTATATGAGAGTTTATCTGGTCAGAAAGTAAACTATCATAAGTCCAGTATATGCTACAGCAGGAATACGGGGCAATATGATAAGGACATGGTGGCACAAATCCTAGGTGTTACTCAAGCTCCCAACTTTGGGAAATACTTAGGACTACCCTCCTTTGTGGGAAGGAATAAGAAGGCTGCATTTGCATATATTGAAGATAAAATCAAGCAAAGGATTGGTTCTTGGAATAAGAGATTGTTATCACAGGCTGGTAAAGAAATTTTGTTGAAAAGTGTGGCTCAGGCAATGCCAACATTTTCAATGAGTGTTTTCATGTTACCTATATCTATCTGTACGGCTATTGAGCGAGTTATGAACCGGTACTGGTGGGGGTCAAGTACTGATCGGGGCATTCACTAGAAAGCCTGGGATAAATTATGTATTCCAAAAAAGCATGGTGGTCTGGGATTTAAAGATTTAAGGGCTTTCAATTTGGCGATGTTAGGAAAGTAGGCATGGCGACTGCTCACTAACACTGACTCATTGGTAGCCAGGGTTTATAAGGCCAGATATTATCCAAATGATACTTTCCTGGAGGCGAGTATAGGAAATAATCCAAGTTTTTGCTGGCGCAGAATTATGGCTGCTAAAGATTTAATATGTGGTGGTATAAGGAGACGAATTGGGAATGGGAAATCTACCTTAATATGGGAACATCCCTGGCTGCAGGATGAATTGGATCCTATGGTTCACATGGAAATGCCACAACACCTCTCTAGAGCCAAAGTGGTAGGATTAATTGATCAGGATACGGATACCTGGGATCCACATATACTAACTGATATTTTTCAACCAAGTGATATACCTAGAATCCAAAGAATACCAGTTGCCCCTGATTATGATGATATATGGTATTGGTATGATGATCCGAATGGGTGTTATTCAGTCAAGAGTGGATACAGGTGCATAGTTGGGAATTATGTAAATAATTCTAATGGAATTTTTGATGAGTGGCTATCCCTATGCAGATTAAAAATTCCACCCAAATGGAAGACATTCCTATGGAGAGCTATTTGTGATATTCTCCCTACTACCAACAACTTGCTTATAAAGAGAGTGGATGTTAACCCGGTGTGTGCCATGTGTGGGATGGTGAATGAAGATACCATGCATGCATTAGTTTTGTGTGACTATGCACACTCCATATGGGCTCAATCCAACCTTCCAATTCCCAATATTATCACAAATGTTTTCCATGAATGGTTTAGTGCAATCTTGAATGTTCTAGACTTTAATGGAATTATTTATGCAGCTGCTATTTTATACCACCTATGGAGAGTCCGGAACGGAGCGGTCTGGGATGCCTGTCTACCAAGGCCAACAAAGTTACTAACAGTTGCAACGACCACGATGAAAGCATGGATGGACGTTCACCATCGTACACCAATCCGGTAGCCTACCGCCGGAATGCCGCAACGAATCCCAACGCCGGAATGCCACTGCCGGACGACGACACTACTGACTTCCACTGCCAACAACGCCACGCAACAATCCGAGACCCATGAAATGTTATGTAGATGCAAGCTACCACCGTGGAACAAATGCAGCGGCAGTTGGTGCGGTTCTCCTAGACGCCGACGGCCATTATGTATCAGCTTTCAGTGCCCCTCTGGTAGATTGCCTCTCCCCGCTCATGGCCGAGGCATTTGCATGCAAGGAAGCATTGTCCTGACTTAAAAGGAGGGATGAAAAGTCTATACAAATTTACACGGATTGTCAACTGCTACAGAGTTATCTATCTGGACCACCAACCACATCACGTTCATATCTAGGTTATGCTATTGATAGTTGCAGAACCTACATATCTACTTTTACTTTCTGCTCAGTTATTTATATTCCTAGACTACAGAACTTATTAGCTCATTCTTTAGCTACTTCGGCATTTGATTTCGCTACTACTATGTACTAGGACAATGTCCCACCAAACACTATTTCTGCTTATCTATAAATACAACCGCCAGGTTGACCTTCAAAAAAAAAAAATAAGAAGCCATTAAGACTTTTTATATAAGAGCATTTTGACTTCTCAATACTTGCCCACATTATAGGCAAGCAATTATTTTTGGAGGAGCATTGCTCCTCTTATATAGAGGAGTTCAAGAGCTCCTATTTCCAAATATTTTTTATGTGGGATCAAAATAATCCCACCCGATTTACAAAGGGCAGCCCGTGTGGCTCCCCTTTGTCTTTTTTTTTTAATTATTTTATTTTATCTATAGTTTTGTTTTGATTATTATTATATTATTATTAATATCATTATTATTTTAATTTTATTTTATTGTTACATAATAATAATAATAATAATAATAATAATAATATAAATTTCCTTTTAGCTATACACTTATTACTACATAATTGTAATTATTGTTTTGATTAGTTTGATTACAATAATAATTATTAGTCAATTACAATATTATTTGTGTAATTATTAGCTTAATTACCATAATAATTATTAGATTGAGTTAATATCATCTGAGGTCCTCTGAGTATATTAATTTTACCACGTTTAGTCCTAAACTTTCAAATTGACCATGTGTGGTCCTTCGACTTTCAAATTTAACCATTTGTGGTCCAAGTTAACCACTCATGGTCCTCCAACTTTCAAAATTTAACCAACTATAGTCTTTTCAAGAGGACCACGAGTGGTTAAATTTTAAAAGTTGAAGGACCATGGGTGGTTAACTTTGACCACAAATGGTTAAATTGGAAAGTCGAAGGCCCACAAATGGTCAATTTGAAAGTTTAGGACTAAAATGGCAAAACCACTATACTCGGAGGACCCTATGTGGCATTAACTCTTATTAGATTCGTATAGTAATAATTTGGGAGATATAAAAATATTTTTTTTAATATATAAAAATTAAAATATTGAAGTATACAATTTTACTCATTTTCTTGTTCGTTTTCCAAAAAATGAACCAAAAACGCAAAGACATTTTCTGAAAAATGAATCAAATATACAAACACAACTTTCTGCTGTGCAACCAAACATTGAAAATAAAAATATTTTCTGAAAAATAACTCATTTTTCAAAAATTATTCCTACTTTCCAAACGAACTTTAATATCCATACAATTAATTTCTTAATTGCCATAATAATTATTAGATAATAGCCTTGTTCGATTATTGATAAATTCACCAAAATTTTAACAAATCCTCAATTTTAACATTTTGTTTTTAATCAAAACACCAAAAATATTATTTAATAACACTACAATTTGATCCAAACTGCTAAAAACAAAAACAACACATATACATTTTGGGGAAATATTAAGATTAATCTTTTCCCAAACCCCTTAATAAATAATAAATTAATTAATTAATTATTAATTAATTTAAAAAAAAAACTAAAATGAGAAGTCATTAAGGTTTTTTATATAAGAGTCTTTTGACTTCTCAATACTTGTCCACGTTGATGGGCAAGCAATTATGTTTGGAAGAGGAGCAATGCTCCTCTTATATATATCAGAGCACGGAGCTCCTCTTTCCAAACATTTTCAATGTGGGATCAAAATGATCCCACACCATTTACAAAGGTAGCCCGGCTCCCGTTTGTTTTGTTTTTTTTTTTTTTAAAAAAATTTAATTTAATTTTGTATATAGTTTTCTTTTGATGAATTATTATATTATTAATATTATTTTTATTCTTATTTTATGTTATTATTACATTATTACATAATAATAATAACAATATAAATTTTCTTTTAGACAATTTGCTACTGTGCATCTAAATATTAAAAAGAATAATATTTTTTTAAATAATAACTCATTTTTCAAAAATTATTTTCCGAGTATATATATATATATATATATATATATATATATATATATATATATATATATATATATATATATATATATATATATATATATATAATTTTTTAAATACCATAATAATTATTAGATAATGGCCTTGTTTGATTATTGACAATTCATCAAAATTTTATCAAATTCGTCATTTTAACATTTTATCTTTAATCAAAACATCAAAAATATTATTTAATAACTCAGCAATTTGCTCCTACTAAAAACTGAAACAACACATATACATTTTGGGTTAATATTTTCCAAACACTCCTAATAAATAAATAAATAATTTAAAAAATGAAAAGCCATAATTAAATGTTATAATTTGTTATAATTATTATGTTTTATTATATGTTATAATTTGTACGTTCTTATTATTATTATTACTATTATTAACACTTGATTGCTTTTAGATATTATTATTACCACTCATATTATTATAATATTATTTTTGTTTTCATGTCAAGTTATGTTAATATATAATGACCGTGAGGCACAATAATAGTATAATCATAATCCCTTAGGGTTGGGGTTCAACCTTTTGGAAGAATAGTATAATCATAATGAAATATTATTGTATTCTATTCTGTGAGGTATAATAATAATATAATCATAATTAAATATTCTTGTATTCTATATTCTTCTAGGATTTCTATTACCATCATTAATTATTCCATAATTTACCATAATTGAATACAATGAGTTTGGGCGGGAAAATGCTAAAAGAATGATTTTACTTTTAATAATACTAATATTTGCACCTGTGCGATGCATATAATGAATTTTTTGTAATATATTAAGAATATATGAATCGATATATAATTATTTAAATTAGAACATCAAATATTATATAGTGCAATTAAAAATATGGTTTGGATCGTTTATATATATCGATGTTATCATTGCTTGAATTTGTGCAAATAATTGCTCAAATTAATAGCTAATGTCTAGATGTACGCATACAGTGATATAACTTTGAAGATTTTATTTATCATTATTTAGTATTTTGATAAATTTGGCAAATGAGCTCGTTCTCTAACAACTCAGTTATAGAAATGAATTGGTATCCTTATTCATTTGTATGGAAGATATTTTTTTGTCTAGATATATAACAATTTTTTCATTAAAAAAAAAATTTAATATCACTGATTATATTTACACATTATTGAAACCTCTTTGTAGACGACATTGGTAGTTACAACACAATCTTGTTCATCTTCTTCTAGAGCTAACACCTTCAATCCATCAGGACGTGTTACTTAGGTTAAAATATATAATGGTAGAATATTACTGAATTAGTTATCCTTTTATATTTTCAGTCAATTAGTGATATCAGATTCATTTTCAGCCAATTATTCTTTTTTTATTTTTAATCAATTAGTCAATTAGAATATCAAATGCAATGATATTTTTACTTAATTTTCGTTCCATTTTTAATTGATGATGTAGATATTATTTTGAAATATTTTCGTTCCATTTTTAATTTATCTTTACTATTGTTTAAAATATGCATTTACTATTGATAATGTAGAATATTATTATTGAAATATTTTCCTCCAATTTTTAATTTTCATTCCATTTTTAATTAAAATGCAATGATTTGACCATTTCTTTCTTCTTCTTTTTTAGTCAATTATGGAGCATTTTTTATTTGCAGTCAATTATTAATATTCATTTCTTTTTATATTTTCAGTCAATTAGTAATATTAGATTCATTCTCAGTCAATTAATGAAATATTTTCGTTCCATTTTTAATTTACATTTACTATTTTTTTAAAAATATTCCTTTAGTACTTGATGATGTAAAATTTTATTATTGAAATATTTCCTTTCCATTTTTTAATTTTCCTTTATTTCAAAAAAAAAAAAAAAAAAAAAAAAAAAAAAAAAAAAAAACTTTGGACTTCTCACTACTTGCCCACATTGATGGGCAAGCAATTATGTTTGTAAACATTTTCAAGAGCTCTATCTTTCCAAACATTTTCAATGTGAGATCAAAATGATCCCACATCATTCTTCATATTTTTTTTTTCTACTTTTAATTTTATTTTGTATATCGTTTTGCTTGGATGATGATGATGATGATGATGATGATGATGATGATGACGATGACGATGACGATGACGATGACGATGATGATGATGAACAATATAGAGTACAAATAAAAGTATAATTTGTATTTATAGGTGGGAAATACTAATTCAAAAGGAAAGTATAATAAGTATAATAATTTGTAATTAAGGTAATAACATTATTATTATTATTATTATTATTATTATTATTATTATTATTATTATTATTATTATTATTATTATTATTATTATTATTATTATTGTTGTTGTTGTTGTTATGATTATTATTAAATGAATGATATTACAGAAATGTCCCTAAGTTTTGGGAGGAAAACTTGACTAGGAGGATTTTACATATATATATATATATATATATATATATATTATAGAAGATATAGATATAGATTGTCCTATTGTATTACGAATAGGAATTTAATGTAGAATTATAGTACGAATAGGAAAGTAGCAACAATATATTCTATTAGGAATTGTATTAAACTATTTTATAATATTAGAATATGAATTTTAACCATGAATTATAGTACGAATATGAAAGTCGAAAACAATATATTTTATTAGAAAGCGAGATTTTTTAAGAATTCAGCGGATAGTTAAAGTTCAAGGATTTTGTTTTTATATATAGTATAGATTATCATTATCATTATCATTATCATTATTGGGACAATGTCTCCCACCACTATATTACTTCCTACCGTATTATTTTAAAAAATAAAATGTAAACTACTAAGGCCAGTCTGTTTGTCCTTAAATGTGGTATGCGTTAATTGACTAAAAAAAACTAATGAAATCTCAATTTCTTTTCTTTTAGTTAAATAACATATATGATTAGAGTGCACTAATTATTATCATCTTGAATCTAACCTTATAATTGTTATTTGCTTCCAGAGTTGGCATATCCATTACAACATCATATGATGTATTCTAAGATTTTTCCTATTTTTAATTTGTTTAATGTGGTCTTTGTTCTTGGAAAATGATTTTCACAAAACATTCTTTAGGCTAATCTAGATCGATCCATTATCAAGATGTCTTCTCTTTATTTTTTATTTTTTTTGGTGAAGAGAAAATTTCACAATCATTATTTTATATGTGCCCAAAAATCGAGAGAGTGTTGACAAAAATCGAACTCGATAATGATCTTCAAATAATGCTTCACTCACTTGACCACTCTTTAGTCCTTTCGGAACATAATGATATTTTTTGATGATTTGATTTGGTTAACGGTTAATTCGGTTCAAAATTGTCGGTTAACCAAAATTTTAAACATATAAATAAATAATCTAATATGTAAAATCCCTATAAATTTGTAATGTTGTTATGGTATTGTTTTTGTATATTTCTTATGGATTTATTATTATATGTATTATTTTAATTAGATTTATTATTATATATATTATTTTTAGGATTTAACCGACCGATTAATCGAAAAAACTTCAGTTCGGTTAATTCGGTAATACAAAGTTCAGTTATGTTATTGAAAAGAATGCACAATATATGACAAATACTGTCCAAAATTGTGCACTTGAAGGCAAAAAATCTGCACAGAAGGAAAAAAATGGGGTTCGCTTGAATGCTAAGTATTTTTTTACACAATAATAAGATACACATACACTTTACGTAGGCATTAAATTGAGCACTTGAAGGCATAAAGATGATCACTAGAAAACAAGGGAGAAAAAAAAAAAAAAAAAAAAAAAAAAGGACACTAAAAGGAAAAATTCGAAAGAAATTAATTATGCACTCTTAGAAAAGAAAACATGCACTTGAAGGCTACAAAACGTGCAATCACTGTTGCAAAAATCGCGCCTATGCGGCCTAGGCGCTCTAGGCGAAAAATTCGAAGAAAATTAATTATGCACTCTTAGAAAGGAAAACATGCACTTGAAGGCTACAAAACGTGCAAATGTGCAATTGAAGGCCAAAAATTTGCACTTAAAGGCACAAAGATGTGCATTCAAAGGAGAAACTAAGTACTGAAACAAAAAATGATGCACTCGAAACACACATACACACACACACACACACACACACACACACACACACACACACACACACACACACACACACACACACACACACACACATATATATATATATATATATATATATATTATGAATCCAACCTAACCCGCTGCGGCCTGCAGGTTTACTTTTATAAGACCCACCACCCACTATCACCCAATAAAATTCAACCCATGCAAATGAATTCGAATGGATATTGTGAGGCAGAAAAAAAATTGTTATCCCTAATTATATCATTGAATATGAATGGTGGTAATGGTCTACAAATTTAAAGAATTGAATTGTGGAATACAATATTATGATTTTTTAAAAATTTTGCCTTTAATATTTCCTTTTATTTTGAATTATTTAATTTTTTAGATAGCGTCTAAGTGGTTAAGCACCATTGATGGGAGGTAAAGTTAGTGCTAATGCTTATAGCTTTCTCCATTAGTTATGGTAAACTCAATATAATTAAATTGGAGTGAACAATTTATATTTTTTTGCGTGACTGACTATTAATTTTTCAAGTTCCAAAATGAACAAGATGTTATTACTAGGTTGGTTTCATAGCAGAAATTTGTGTTTCAATGACAAGAGGAAGGATTAGAGGGATAAAACTGCACAAAATCAACACAACCCCAGAAAATTTAAAATAGTAGAAGAAAAAAGATTCAGATAAACACACTGTTTTAATCCACCACAATATTAACAATTACAGTAGCCGCTAGTAACAAACTTTTGAGAAGGTTAGCAAAACATCTTACCTCCCTTCGGATTGAAAGCATTGATCCAAGTTTCATCAACTTCATCTTGGCAACTTCAAGATTTGTTCCTCCTTGAAACTTTAACTCTTATATATACTTTAATGTAACTCAACTCATCACTGTAAAATTAAATACATGTGTTCATTGGCTGACAGACTATAAGATCAAATACAACCCAAAAATCTGGACAGAGTCCCAGAAACAGAAAATTGAAATCACTCAATTTAAAGACATCCAGAAGAAGAAGCTGCACTGATATTATGAATTCAAGAACACAAATAAGAGCATTTATATAATAATAAAAAATAACCCCTACTCTCATTCAAAATGAATTGAACAGTATTTGATAGAAATTCATAACAAAATTCAAAACTCTGTTGAATTAGTTTCGAAAAGACAAAAAAGCATATACAAAGAGCATATTTGTATCTCCTAAATTGAAGTGGTAAGTTGATTAAAAGGTCAAGACAGTCTAACTAGAGCCATCCACAAATCTACGTCAACCCGAATAGCCCACAATTGAACTATCATCTTCCTTTCAAATTTATTCCGTCTTCTTATTTCATTCCAAGTATTAGCTATGACATAAGATACACTGGAAACTCCCCTTTCCTTCTTCATCTCCCACCTCCTCAAGCTCACCTTTGCTACTTCCATCATTGGTGTTATCAATGGAACTTCATCTATAGAACATACATTCTTCCCATTGCGCTGACAAAGTAGAAGATGCTCTTCTTCCGTAAGAAACTCCTCCCTCACAAGCCTCGCTGGGATTGACAGTCTATTTTGGGTGCCGTTTACATCCGTTTTGGTAAGCTCCTTTTGAATCACCAATTTCTCGACACATACTGCCCGGTTACCAGCCCTTTGGAGAATAAAATTTCTGAATTCAACCGGTAGTCCTGGTGGTGGTTCTGGACCGTTGTTGGGCACCCCACTTCCCCTCTTTCGCTTCTTGGAATTGATCCTCTCTGCCACAGCATTTCCCGCAACCTCATCAGACTTTAATCTCCTCTTTGAAGAAGCTCTGCTGTCATCGCTGCCACTGGAATGTGAAATATCAGATTCTGGGGTGTTGCTTTGTGTTGTACTTTGCACCTCGGACTTCAAAACATTCGGCCAAGATAAGTAGCCATAAAATGATCCCATCAATTTTTTCCTCCATTCCTCCTTACCAGGCACTGTATGGTTTGAAGGAGTGATCAAATTCTTATTGAGATCAACCCCACAGGACTGATCATCATCTTCATTGTAGCATCCTTTCTTTTCTTGCTTATCCTCCTGTTCCTCTTTCTCAAGTAGTAATCTCTCTTGCTTACACACCGCAAGTAGATAATCAAATCTACAAGAACCCACGGGAAAGGTAATGTCAGCAAAGTCTTTAAGACGAGCCATGATGAAAACAAACACCAGACAACAAGGTATGTATTGAAAACTGAATATATAGCAGATAAAGATGAGTTCAGAACAATAGAAAATCTAAAGAAACTCTAGTTAAGAATGAATGAAGATTGAGTATATGTGTGTTGCGTATACATAGGGATGAATCATATACATAATACATATATACTAAATTTGTTTCCTAATCCCATCAGAAATCAAATTTGGGATATAGCAAAACCGTTAGTATGATACGAAATTTCCCGCCGAGCCTGAGTAATTAAAGTTTCAAATTAGATATATAGGAAATCAGAATTAGATAGGAATTAGGAAATCTTGAGTTGAGTTACCATTGGTATGATTCCCTCCAAACTTCCCGCCCGTCCCTTACCGGCGGCACTTCTAGGTCAACGAGCAGCTCCGGCTGAGGCGATGATAAGAGCTCCACAACCACCGGTTCACTCCGCCGTCGCATTCTCACGAGAACTGCTGTGCTTTGCTGCGGAGGAGGAGGAGGACTCTTTGCCCCTGAAGCAAGAGAAGAGAAGAGACGCGACGCCATTCTCGTCGGGTTGTCTACAGAAAATTAGTATCAGTTGAATTGTTTAGATTACCAGTTTTTTCCTAGAAACTCATCCTAAGTCCTAACCAAAGACTAATCAATAATTAACTCATCTAATCAATACATCATTGCAAATATTATGTGTACGTGATTTTCCACAAACAACAATGTTTTAAACATTATTATGATTTTTAAAAAAAAATTAAAAGATAAGCAATAATTGTTGGATATGTATATAGTAAATTGTTGAATGTAATTTTTTTTGAGGACATAAATTGTTGAATGTATTCGTTTGAGAAAATATCATTTTTAGTCTCCGACTATAATATATGTATCAATTTTAGTCTTTAACTATTAGAATTTTCAAATTAGGTGCATGGTTATTCAATTCGTATCACATTTGATTCTTGACTATTAATATTTTCAAATTAGATGCATAATTCTTCAATGTGTACCACATTTAGTCCTGCCATTAAATTTTTTGCCAAAATCACGGTGACCGGCTAGTTTATTTAATTTTTATTTTAAACATTATTTTAAAAATTTTTAAATTAAAAAACTTTAAAAAACAAAAATGTCGGCCCCCACCCTCCTCCTTCGTCTCCGCCGGACACGAAGGAGGAGGGGATGGCCGGCTTTCTATTTTCCCCCTTCCTCCTTCCTCTCCGGTGGAGACGAAGGAGGAGGGGGTGTGGTGGCCGTCGTTTTTCTATTTTATTTTTTATTTTTTTATATTTAAAGTTTTTAATTTAAAAATTATTAAAGTAATTTTTAAAATAAAAAATTAAATAAATTAGTCGATTATCGGTGTCTTGACCGAAAAATTTAACGGCAAGATCAAATGTGATACAAATTGAATAGTTATGCACCTTATTTGAAAATATTAATAGTTAAAGACCAAATGTGATACATATTGAATAGTCATGCACCTAATTTGAAAATATTAATAGTCAAAGACCAAATGTGATACATATTGAATAGTTATGCATCTAATTTAAAAATTTTAATAGTCAATAACTAAAATTGATACATGTATTATAGTCGATGGATTAAAAATAATATTTTCTCTATTGGTTTAAACATATTTACTTACGGGAAGCATAAATAATAATTTGGTATTGTTAAGTTGAAAATATTAGGAATAAGGGTCAAATAGGCCATCGAACCGCACACAATAATGCAATTAGGCCATTGAACTCAAAAAAGCAACAATTAGGTCCCTAAACTAACCCATTTCAAACAATTTGTCCAATTTACAGGTTTTCCCCTTTCTAACAGGTCACTCAATTTAAAATATATTTTAAAAATAATTTTTAAAAAAAAAATTAATCCAAAAAAACTAAAATTATTTATTAAACAAAAAAAAAAAAAAAAAAAAAAAAAAAAAAAAAAAACCTTAAACTTCGTCTCCGCCGGAGACGAAGATCCCTTCTTCGTCTCTGACCGGAGACGAAGAGTCTCCTCGTCTCCATGGCCGGAGACGAAGAGTCTCTCGTCTCCGGCCATGGAGACGAAGAATGGATCTTCGTCTCCGGCCAGAGACGAAGAACGGATCTTCGTCTCCATGGCCGGAGACGATGATACGTTCTTCGTCTCCGGCGGAGACGAAGTTAGTTAGTTAGTTTTTTTTTTTTTTTTTTTTAATAAATAATTTTAGTTTATTTTAATTAATTTTTTTAAAAAAATATTTTTAAACATATTTTAAATTGGGTGACCTGTTAGAAAGGGGAAAACCTGCAAATTGAACAAATTGTTTGAAATGGGTTAGTTTAGGGACTTAATTGTTGTTTTTTTGAGTTCAATGGCCTAATTGCATTATTGTGTGCGGTTCAGTGGCCTATTTGACCCTTATTCCAAAATATTATTTATTTGGGAAAAGCAAATATTATTTATTTGGTAAGAATTTTATTATGAATTGATCACTCTGGTAAATTTTGAAAAATTCGATGAAGTTCCTGAAATGATTGGGGAATAGGAAGAAGTTCCCTGAAGGATCGGGGAATCATAAGAAGTCCCGGAAGGAATGGGATATCAGAATATTTTCCCAGAAGGATTGGAACATTAGAAGATATTTGCTATTTCCAAAAGACCTTCTTCTGGTGGTGAAATAAATTCTTGATTGATCAATTATACAAATATTTAATTTATAAATAATTTAAATTATTATTATTATCATTATGAGTAATGATTATGAAAGTTACAAAACTTCATATAAACTACCTCATTACTGATTTTTTTTTAAGAGGATAGAGAATGAAATGTCTAAATATAATAAAACTTTCATTCGTTGCCACTAGGGATGGCAACGGGGCGGGGCGGGGAGTATACTCCCCGTTCCCGTCCCCGTCCCCATTTCCGGCTGGGAATTGAAAAATTCTCCGTCCCTCCGCGGGAAATTTGGCGGAGACGGGGAATTCACATCCCCTATCATTCCATAGTTAAATTAAAATATTTTTTCAAAAAAAAAAAAAATTTGAAATCTATAAGTCCGATTTATTCTAAAAACTATAGTTCTTCAACAATTAACATTCAACTATTTGTAATAACATACGAACTAACGAAGTTCCAATTTCAATCCAAAATAGAAAATGCAATGAAGTCAATTTGTTCTGCCATTCAATGAAGATACAAAGCAGTGAATAAAAATATGCATAAAAAACAGTGAATGAAGATACAAGGAAAATGTACATATACAAAGCAGTGAATGAAGATACAAGAAAAATGTATATATACACAGTAGACAGTACCTTCAACAATCAACATTCAAATATTCAATAATATAATATATAATATTATATATATATTATTTGGGGACGGGGCGGGGAGGGGTATCCCCATCCCCGTCGGGGAATTTCAAAAATTCCTCATCCCCGTCCCCAATCCCCAAAATTTTTTCCCGTCCCCATCCCCGTCTCTGACGGGGACGGGGCACATTGCCATCCCTAGTTGCCACCAGATGATTATTGATAAAACAATTGCAAAGCTTATGAGAAAATTTTTACAAACTAAAAATAAATTTACTCCCTTCGTAAATTTCTCAAGAAATCAACCTGAGAAATTTGACATTTTCTTGTGCCTCAAAAGTTCTGGTTTGAACACCTTTTATTGCTTAGTAAGAAAAAAAAAAATAATTAGAATACCTTCTTTCATACGCGTGAAGATTGTGATCAATCAAGTGCCTCCTTATTTTTACTGAGTCCCATGTTCATTATCAAGACTTAGGTTCCTAACAATAATTATACAAATAGAATTGAGGTCGTATATTTGTATACTTTATAACATGGTATACCTTAATTTAGTTATATAAATATTTTATTTACTTTATTCTTCCTTGGAAACTTGAAGGCTTCCTCTTCTCAATCGACGACAAAAAAGTTTCCCAATATCATTCCACATGAATCGAGGTTTTTTTGGGTAATAGTGGTGATGAGTCGGAGGTAAGTCTTAAAAAAGTAAACCCGCAATGAATTAAGTTAGATTTGAGTTTTCACAGGCGTTGCTCAAAGAGTCCTTTGTTTCCAATAAAGCAGAAATCTTTGTTGAGGTGTTTAAGCCCCACCCTAGCTAATATCCCAATCTCTTCTCCAATAGCTATAAGTATGGTCTATTCTTGTTCTGCTTCACAGCTTGTTACCAATCCCACTACAAAACCACTGAACAAGCTCAACAATCTCATTTTTAGGTCATTTTCAAGAACCCTCATTCTTCTCAAATTTCTTCTTCTCCTCCCTAAATTCCCCCAAATAGAAACACCAAAAGAAACATGAATCAAGAATGTGCAAGACCACCCAATTTTCTTTTATGTTAAGTTCACCTTATGCTTAACACTAGGTGATTTTGACAAAGCAAAATAGACTAATGTACCACGAAAGTTATAGTGTTTTGAGAGGCATAATATTACGTCCTAAATTACACTTTGACTCATAATCTAAATGTACTTTTTCCTATCAACTAGTAGTAATTGCTTAAATTAACTTTGGTTATAACGGTTCTCATGTTAAGTGCAACGACTCTTGTACTAAATGTTTGGATTAACTCCCGACTCCTGACTATTATTGGTGATGTTTGATGATATTATGGGGTAATGTTTCGCATTAGATACTCGCATACTTATCTAATTATTATGTCAGCCACAGCTGGCAAAGAGACTATAATATTCACATCCGTTCCAATCCTTTAACTAGCTTTTAGTATTTATTTTGTTTTCTTTTTTATTGTTTCTGGAAAACGAATTCATTTATAGTTGGCGGAAAAGGGAACTTTTGGTCACAATTTTATTACGGAGTATTAAATGTACAAAGATTTGTATGTGAAAAATTAAAAGAACTATTTCAATCCTTTTTATGCTTTCTCTATTGATGTTTTGCGCAAGAAATATCTAATATGCACATTATATTTGTTAGGTAAAATTGAGGAATAATCACGAAATTTTTTTTTAAAAAATAATATTAGGGAAAAGGTACAAATAGGCCATTGAACTATTTTGGGATAGCAATTAAGCCAACGAACTCGAATAAACTCCATATTCATCCATGAACCTGTAAAAAAAAAGTGTCATTAGCATTTTTAGCAGGTTAACAACAGGTTTGGATTGCCATGTATATATTTTATTTTAGGGAAAAGGTACAAATAGACCATTGAACTATTTGGGAATAGCAATTAAGCCACCGAACTCGAATAAGCTCCAAATTCATCTATGAACCTGGAAAAAAATGCAATTAGTGTTTTTAGCAAGTTAACAACATGTTTGGGTTGTCATGTGTATATATTACTTTATATTTTATTATTTTTATTATCTTACTAACCATTTGACACTCTGGTGTCATGTTTTCATGATTTTATTTCCTAACGAGTCGGGTATTGTATTTAAAAATAATTTTTTAAATTTATTTTAATAATTTCAAATAAAATAATTGTTTTCAATAAAATAAAATAATTATTTAAAATTTAAAAAAAAAAAAAAAAAAAAAAAAAAAAAAAAAAACCTTGTAGAGACGAAGGGGTATCCATGGCGGCCCTTTATCTCGG